TTGCATATAAGGTTATTTTTTTATATTTCACCAATTTTTTTTTCTTCTACCCACTTTTTACTTTTTGTCTTTTTTAATCTTTTATATCAATTAATTTATTACATTATTCTTTCTCTTATCTTTCAATTTTTCACATTTCCTTAATCTCTCTCATCAATTTGTTTTATTTTTTCAATCTTTTCAACCAATTTGATGAAAACAAAGTTAATTTTTTTATTCTTTATCTTTTTCTAAATATTTTACATAAATCTTAGTAGTAACTAATATTATTTTATTTATAATTTATATTTATTAGGTTTTATTATGTCATTTTTTTATCTTATTATTCTTATTTATCATATATCAAATTTTATCTTAATAAAATAATTGTATTTTAAAGGATTAAAGGAATTGATAATTTAAACTTTTATTACTTCGAACTAATTGAATAAGAATTAACTTATTAAATATTTCCTTATAAATTATATATTTCATATTTTTAAATGACAACTTAAAAATGAATTAACTTAATATATAATCAAATGTTTGAATATATTAATATAATAATAATGGTATAAATATTTCAAATATTTGAATAGAGTGTTATAATAATAATAATGTTATAAATGATTAAATATTTTTTTTACATACATATTTTAATATAAATATAATAAATTAAAAAATATATTTAATTAATAATAATTATAAATTATAAAATTATAAATATTTATTTATATATAAAAAATAGATAGTAAAATTAATTTATTATAAATGTAATTATCTTTTTAAAAATAATATAGATCGGGGATGGGGAACACTGAAACCCAGTGGGGACGGGGATGGGGACTTAATTTCTAACCTTGGCGGAGATTGGGGGCGGGGATGTTTAAAAATGTCGGGGGCAGGGATCGGGGAGGCAAAACCCGCCCCGCCCCGTTGCCATGCCTAACTACCACTAATATGGCCTCAAAACCTTTCGATCTTGGTAACCCCGTGATAAAATCAAGAGAAATATCTTCTCACACCTTCTCCGGTATTGGCGAGTGGTTGTAACAAACCTCCGGGATAGTAGTGGCATATTTTTGACACTGACATGTGTCACAATATTGGACATACTTCATTACCTTATTTTTCATACCTGGCCAATATACATTTGTTGCAATTCTCTTGTACGTTCTTAGAAATCCAGAGTGTCCTCCCAGTGGTGTAAAGTGAAATTCTTCGATGAATCTATCCATCCACTCAGAATTTGGAGACACCACTATTCTGTCTTTATAAAACAGAATTCCTCGTTGATAAGTGAAACCCGAATGGTTCTTACTCCCCTGCTCCAAGTCTTCAATGATTTTCTTCAATTTCTCATCTCTGTGAACCTCATTAATTACTGTGTGGCTATCTATCCAAATTGGTATAGACATCAAATTCTTCAATTCCCCCTCTTCAAATTTTCTGTACAGTGCATCAGCTCCCTTGTTTTCTAATCCCGGTTTATATACAATTTCAAAATTATAACGAAGTAATTTGGCCACCCAGTTTTGTTGACTTCCATTAGTGATTCGCTGCAACAACAACTGTTTAAGACTCCTTTGATCTGAATAAACCTTGAATTTACGCCCCAATAAATACGACCTCTAGTGGTGAATTGATAGAGCTACAACCATAAGCTCTTTTTCATATGCAGACTTTGTCAAGTTTCTACTTCCTAGAGCCGTGCTAAAATAAGCCACAGGCCTATGTTCTTGCATCAATATGGCCCTAATACCCAGCCCAGATGCATCACACTCAAGCTCAAACTCCTTCTCAAAAATTTGGTAGAGCTAAAACTAGAGTTGTAGTGATCATCTTCTTCAATTCCTCGAATGCTTGTTGCGCTTTCTCATTCCACTTAAAACCTTCTTTTTTGATCAATTCATTAAGAGGTTTAACTATTTTTCCATAATTCCTAATGAACTTATGATAGTAACCTATAAGTCATAGGAATCCCCTTACTCCTTTTACATTTTTTGGGATTGGCCACTCCATTACACTTTTGACCTTGGCTGGATCAACTTTCACTCCTTTCCATGAAATCACATGTCCCAGATATTCAACACTTTCCTAGGCAAAATTACATTTCTCCTTGTTGGCATATAACTTTTGATGTCTCATAACTTCCATAACCATTTTTAATTGAACCAAGTGCTCTTTCCATTCAGAGTTATACACCAATATATCATAAAAAAATCATAAAACTCCCCTTCGAAGTAGATCATGAAATACCTCATTCATCAATCTTTGAAATGTTGTTGGAGCGTTTGATGAGCCCAAAAGGCATTACAAGGTACTTGTAATGTCCTTCGTGGGTTCTAAAAGCTTACTTCTCAATGTCTTCCTCCCTCATCTTGACTTGATGGTACCCTGATTTAAGATCCAACTTTGAAAAGTATTTAGAACCATGTAATTCATCTAACAGTTCTTCAATTACAGGGATAGGAAATTTATCTGGAATTGTAGCCTTGTTAAGAGCACGGTAGTCAACACACATTCTTCAAGTGTTATTTTTCTTTTTGAAAAGGATTACAGGGCTTGAATAGGCACTGTGGCTGTGACATATATGTTCATTCTCCATCAACTCCTTAACTTGTTTTTCTATTTCATTTTTCTGGTGATAAGGATAACAATATGACCTCACATTAATTGACTCTTGATTTGGCTTCAGTAAGATTTTATGCTCCCTCGAACCAACTGGTCGTAACCCTTTTTGTTCAGCAAAGACGTCAATAAATTTGTCAAGTAATTCCTCCAATTCACCTTGCTGTTGATTTGTGATTTTTCTTTTTGGAATATCCTGTGAGTCTCGCACTAACTCCTTGATTTGGGCTGCTAGAGACTCTTTACTCTGCACCCCTTTTAACAACTTCTTCCCTTGATTAGTGGTAATCTTCATCGTTTGTTTTTCCCAATCAATCAACATTTCCCCTAAAGATGCTAGCCAAGACATTCCCAGAATCATATCAATGTCCTTTAAGTCAAAGAGTACAACGTCAATATTGAATGTCTCGCCATTAACCTCAACTTCAATTCTGCGACAGACTCCTTGTCTTTTAGCTTTATGATCGTCACCCATCAAAATTCGCATCTTCTTTATAGGATCCCAATTCCATTCCATAGCTTCCACCAAACGTTTGGAAATGAAATTATGTGTGGCTCCATTGTCGACGAGTAGAGACAGAGATAGGCCCTGAACTTTGCCTTCCAATTTCAAAGTTCGGGGAGGATTCTGCTTTTTCTATATTCAAATCAAATATCCAAATGACACTACATTCTCCTTCATCGTCATTGTCACCATTCCCATCACCTATATGTTCTTCCTCATCGCACTCCACCTATAATTCATTGTCCAACATAATCACCCTTAGTTGTTTTACTGGGTATTGATGCAAGGGCCCATACGTTCCTCCATACTTTAAACAAAGAACTTTTTACCTTTGGTCCACTAATTCTTGATAAACCAGATGTTTAGCTCCTCTATCCCGAGGCCCACCTCTACTTTCTCCTACTTCCCTCTTCGTATTTGGGCTAGACCCATTCACTCCACTGCTTGCTCCATACATTTTCAGAACTACCCAACCCAAAATTGTGGAATAATTTTTGGATCCAAATTAACCTGTTCCTATCACATGTGTCTCACTCCTCCTCTGCCATCCTCTGTTTCGCATATGAATTTCAGAGTCCACCGCTCTAGCTGCATTCATCAATCTTCCCCTTGTCAACTGGTTCACCACGTGTAGGCTCCTCAGTCGTGCCCTTGTTTCCTCACGCAAACCATGAGTGAAATAAGAAAAATATTGTTCATCCTGTAATCGAGGTACTTGGGCCACCAATCGCTCAAACGTTGCGATGTATTCTTCAATGCTCCCATTCTGTTTCAATGATGTCAATTGATCGAACACACTCCCTTCGCCCATTCTTCCATATCTTTCCAGCAATTCCCTCTTTAAATCCTCCTCGTTAGCTCATCATAATCGTTCAACAAGACGTTGAAAAAGTGTACCGTTCCTCCCTCCATGCACAAATTTGCCAAGTTGACATGCACCGCTTCACTAGTCTGTTGAACCTGGAAATAGATCTTTGCCCTTGAGATCCATTCTGCAAGATCCTCGCCATTAAATGAGGGAAGCTCAATCTTCTTCATAGATTGACGAAATTCTTCTAAGGTTTCCCCTTCGAGTGTGTTCATACCCGATGCCACTCTAGAATGTTTTTTCCTGTTTGATACGCTCTTCTTCTTCACTGAACCTTCATTTTCCCCCTCTAAATCCTTTCTAGAATTTCGAGTCAAAAGCTCGACGAGTATCGAGTGGTTCTCTTGAACTTCGCGTTTCATCGCTTCTTGAAAATTCTCCATCATTATCCTCATTCGAGCAATCTCGTTCTCCATAAAACTAACATGTGCTTCCATGTTTTGCTCATCCGCTGATCTTTCTGGCTTAGATTGATTTCCCTTCTTCGGTGGCATTCAAAGTCCTGATGAAGTATCCGGCAGGTCAGACCAATTAATAGGATTCAAACATCGACCACATAAAATAAAGCAATAATCACACAGGTAAGTAAGAAATTTCTGTATTGAGAATGTAGTAGAGACAATAATGAAACTCAGAAAAAGGGTAATCCCTTTTTTTTGCCAAGAGTTAAGCTCCTAATAGAGCAACCATGAGGTTCCCTATCCAAACCAACCGAAAATCCGTGGTCTCCCCCTCCCTCCCAAAACATCTATTTACATATCAGAAAATATTCTTCCTCTTTCCTCTAACAACCTCATAGACCTTTCTTGCCACGTCAACATTCTTTTTCTTCTTACGTTCATATACAATCTATTTCCTTGGGCCTCTTTTGTTCTCATGGGCCAGTGGTTCATTTTCCTGTTTACCTTGAGCCTTATCAGTTACCTTATCTTAATTTACTCATCGGAAGCTTTGGTTCTATTCCCTACTATTTTATCTTAAGGAATTTTATTCACTCAAAAAGTTTATTGTTTTTGAATGAATTTTGTATGCAGTGTATTTCCAGGTGTTAGTATATATTGTTCCATTTTTTGTTTCATATATATATATATATATATATATATATATTTAATATTTTTTATTATACTGTCATTAATTCTATGATTTTAGTGCAATCAGTATAGGCTTTATTAATTTGTCTTATATAGTATGGTTAAAAACAAATGGTCTTTTAACAAGTATGCGTTTTCATAGAATAATTCAATTTTAGTTTTTCAATTTATATTTTATTGGATAGTTTCACTTCATTTTATATTCCCTTTCATCTTCTTGATCTTGCTTTGCAGCCGAACGCTGATACTGATGATGGTATTACTCCACTCCTTTCAGCTGTGGCAGCCGGTTCTCTGGCATGTTTAGAGATATTAATTCAGGTTCCACATCTTTTTCAACCAGTCAAGTATTTACTTTCCTGTTCAGCAAATTAATTATATAATTTATCTGTGTCATATATATGAAACATGGAATAACGCCGAAATTCTAGAAAATTTATCAGTACTAAATTTGATGAAACACATGATGTATATATAAATCTATACATAAACATATACAATCAACATTTTTTGCACAACCAAGGACACAATTAATTGTTTGATCTTATTTTGTTAAGTGATTTATTGTAGTAGTAACAATGTCCTACACAATAAACAACTTTATGAGCCACTACGCAATTGGATTGACCATTTATTTCCAAGTTATGTATTCATTTAGTTATTTCAAAGTACATACGTTTGATATTACAAAAATGTTCCGTTACAGAGTGCCAGTGGGAAGGGGCTTGTTAAGTTATTAACTTATTTTTAAATGAAAAAGAAGAATCACACAGGTAAACTATTTTTAAAGTAACAGTAAGCTGGATGAATCTTAATGAAGAACTCACTTTCTCCTGAAGGATATCTATACAAGTAGCCATGCCCTCTTGATGAAATGAGTACTCTAGAAGTTTTGTTATGGTAGCCAAATGACTAATAGATTAGTGCAACTTTTTTCTTACTAACGTACAAGGATAGCAAAGTTTCTGAGATTTATGAAGTCCTATATACATGTATAGAAATCTTGTTTATAAAACCAAATGCATAATTATTTATTGAAAGCATATTGCAAGATGGTAAGTTATGTAGCATAGATTTTTCCAATACACTGGTTTTAAACAATTTTTTTAGTGGTTTTATGTGAAGGTGGATTAGTTTGTAGATATTTATGTTTGTAAAATGCTGCTTTCTTCATGTCCATTTTTGTCTCATGCTCCATCGATATCATTCCATTTGAATCTTTATATGCAGGCAGGTGCTAATGTAAATATAAGTGCTGGTGGAGCAACTCCTTTGCACATTGCAGCTGATAATGGAAGTCTTGAACTAATAAATTGCTTATTGAAAGCTGGAGCTGATCCTAATTTCTCTGATGAGGTGAGAAACATTAAGTCCTAACATTATGTTATACATTGGTGTAGGAATCAATAACCAACAAAATGGTTCTTAGAATTTACTTATCTAGGAACCCAATAGTCCTAAGAATCCAATATTGTATTCTCAATGGCTCTTTGCTCGGCACATGTAGTGGTTATGATTGTAGTAATCAATGTGCATTGATTAATATTTGGAGTAAAATTTGGTATCTGTTTCACAGGATGGTATCAAGCCAATACAGGTTGCTGCTGCAAGGGGCTATGTAGGTGCTGTTGAGATATTGTTCCCTTTGACTTCCAAAGTAGATATCTTTCCAACTTGGACTATTGATGGGGTACTTGAGTATATGCAATCTGAAACTAGCAAGCAACAGGTACTGAAATCTTAAATTTTTCTTTTATATGTAACTGACTAAGCTAGATCACTCTGCTGCAAGAGCGTCAAATAGCTATTTTCTATTTTGAATCTGTCAGCATGAAATCAAGCTTGAAAAATTACACCATTCCCTTTGAAATACAACTTTTGCCCTGTAGATTTTATGTTATTCAGATGAAAATATGTTATTGCACTTATTTTGTTACAAAAAAATAGTTAATTTATTTTTCTTCATCTTTTTAATTTAAAATGTCAAGTAACAGAAGCATGGTCCTTAAGCTGACCAGCAAATGTTCCATCTTTCATACTTCCACCACTAAAATTCTCAATCTTTTAACTGATTTGGCCTAAAATTTTTTACCGTTATATGTTTTTATCATATTCTACTCATTTTCATGTTTCAAAAATTGACAATTAATACTTTTTTATGCTAGTTTGCATTCTGTCTGAGAAACTGGATTTCTTGTTTTTATTATTAAGTATGAAGGGCAATATGCAGGATGAATTGGTAAATGCCAAAGAAACTAATCAGTCCAAGGATGTCTGTTTCTCCCGAGCAAAAAATTCTTGAGGTATGTTTTACTTTTATTGAACTTTTATTAGTCGTGGTAGTCGAACTCGGGGTTATACTTGGATCAGGATGAACTTACAAGATTGTACATAATTTATAGAACTGTATATATGAATATAAAATAGGATACATAAAACAAAAACATCACTCACAGTATTCTGCTTGGAAGTTTTTTTATTTGTGTGGAACTAAGAAATACAAAAGCAAATATATAGCCAATTACTAGTGTTGAATATAGAAGAAATAGAGTTTGGGATTAATCTCCCTTGTGTATAAATCACACATAGGGTAGTCTATTTATAGTAGAAAGATACAACTAAAAGAGTAACTGAAAGTAACAGAATAAACAGAAGATATTGTTTGATATTATGGTTAATATCTAACAATATCTTAACAATATTAAATAATATCTAAACAATATCTAACACTCCCCCTCAAGCTGGAGCATACAAATCGTATGTGCCAAGCTTGTTACAAATATAATCAATTCTAGGACCCAGTAAAGATTTAGTAAAAATATCTGCTAACTGATCACTTGAGTTAACAAACTCAGTCTTGATGTCTCCGGACATAATCTTTTCTCGAATGAAATGACAAGTCAATCTCAATGTGTTTGGTCCTCTCATGAAAGACGGGATTAGAACTAATATGAAGAGCGACCTGATTGTCACACACAAGTGACATTTGAGTGACATCTCCAAATTGTAACTCTCTAAGCAATTGCTTGAGCCAAACAAGTTCACAAGCAAGCTGAGGCCATAGCTCTATATTCCGCTTCGCACTAGATCTTGCCACAACACTTTGTTTCTTACTTTTCCATGAGACTAAGTTACCACCAATGGAGACACAATATCCGGATGTAGATCTTCTATCCGAAGGAGATCCCGCCTAATCGAGCATCCGAGTAGCAAACAACTCTTGTATGGTTATTAGAATCATATAACAATCCTTTTCCAGGAGATCCTTTAATATACTTTAAGATACGAATGATCGCATTCCAATGATCTTCACATGGGGAATTAAGAAATTGGCTTACCACACTGATCGCAAAGGAAATGTCGGGACGAGTAACTGTAAGATAATTCAATTTTCCAACCAATCTTCTATACCTGTTCGGGATCGGGTATAAGCTCCCCCGATTTGGTAAAAGTTTAGTATTGGGATCCATGGGCGTATCAACGAGACTTTGAATTCATTAACCCAATTTCCTCTAGAATATCCATGGCATACTTCCTCCGAGATATAACAATACCATCATTGGACTGTGTCACCTCAATACCCAAGAAATATCTAAGTTTGCCAAGATCTTTGGTCTCGAAAATGGTGACAGAGATGTTGTTTCAACCGAGAGATGCCATGGTTGTCACTACCTGTAAGAACGATGTCATCAACATATACTATCAAGTAAACACATCCAAGCACTTGAGTGTCGATAAAAGATAGAGTGATCTCGCTTCACACCGAGTCATACCAAATTGTTGAACAACCTTGCTAAACTTTCCAAACCAGGCCCTAGGAGACTGTTTTAGGCCATATAGGGATTTGCGAAGACGACATACCATCCCGGAAGACTCCCTCGAGCAACAAACCCAGGAGGTTGCTCCATATAGATTTCTTCTTGCAAATCACCATTGAGGAAAGCATTTTTAACATCTAGTTGATAAAGAGGTCATTGTTGAAGAGCGGCCATGGCGATAAATAAACGAACAGAAGTCATCTTTGCCACAAGGGAAAAGGTATCTCCATAATCCAACCCAAAAATTTGAGTATAACCTTTGGCCACAAGACGTGCTTTGAGGCGATCAATAGTACCATCGAGTCCAACTTTGATAGCAAACACCCACCCGCAACCAACAACAGATTTCCCAGACGTGTAACGAGACCAATTCCCAAGTTCCACTATTATGAAGAGCACTTAGTTCATCTAACATGGCCCGACGCCAACCAGGATGGGCTAAAGCTTCACAGACAGTTTTTGGAATGGTCACAGAAGAAAGAGAAGAAAGACATGTATAAAAAGGTAATGACAGTCGATGATAACTCAAACCAATATAATGAGGAGAGGGATTACGTGTAGAACGGATACCTTTTCGGAGGGCAATGGGAAGGTCAGACTCAGGTGTTACATCCGGAGGAGACAGAGTAGTTGGCACTTGAGTAGAGTCACATGGTGGTGGTTGTGATTGGTTTCGGCAACTATAAACCTGAAGAGGTAGTGAAGAAGAAGTTGACTATGGAGTAGAATCTAATGGTGAAGAAGACACAGTTAGAGGGTCACAAACAACAGGAACATTAAATGTACTAGGAGTGTTGACAATATTGGATGGAGACAGAGGTGAAGATTGACTTTTAAAATAAAAAGAGAACTCATCAAAGGTGACATCTCGCAGACACAAAATAACGGTTAAGAGAAGGAGAAAAACATTTGTATCCTTTTTGTGATCTTGTAAACCCTAAGAAAACACATTTATGTGATCTAGGAGAAAGCTTGTCAAGACTAGAACTAAAATTATGAACAAAACATGTAGACCCAAAAACTTTTAGAGGTAAGGGATGAAGTGGTTCATGAGGGAATAAAATGGAATGAGGTATTTTATTATCTAGAACCGAAGATGGCATGCGATTAACAAGATAACATGCAAGTAAGAAGAGCATCACCCCAAAAATGTCGAGGAACCTCTCCATGAATTAAAATAGTGCGAGTTGTTTCAATAAGATGTCTATTTTTACGTTCGACTACACCATTTTGTTGAGGTGTATAAGCACAAGAAGTTTGATGCAAAATACCATGAGAAGCCATGAATTGTTTAAAAGAATGAGAAAGATATTCACGACCATTATCATCTGCGCAAAACTCTAATAGAAACACCGAACCGAGTTTGAATTTCATTGAAAAAAGTTTGAAAGATATGAAATAATTCGAACGATTTTTCATCAAAAATAACCAAGTACATCCGGAATAATCATCAATGAAAGTAACAAAGTATTGAAAACCTAAAGTAGACTTAACGCGGCTAGGTCCCCAAATGTCGAGTGAACCACGGCAAAAGGGGACGAAGCACCACGTGTGACACTACGAGGAAAGGAAGTACGACTATGCTTGCCTAATTGACACGACTCACATGCCAAACTAGACAATTTAGATAAGGCAGGGACAAGTTGCTGTAACTTGGCAAGACTTGGATGACCTAACCGAGCATGGAGAAGAGAGGAGACTCTATAACTGCACCAACATGTGTAAAGGGACGAAGATGATAAAGACCATGAGACTCACATCCTGTGCCAATCACCTGTTTCGAACTCCGGTCCCGTAAACACACGTAATTGTTGGTAAAAGAAACAACACAATCAAGAGAACGAGTTAGACGACTCGATGGATAACGAGGTTAAAAGGAGACCCAGGGACATAAAGAACATTATCAATGGTTAAAAAAGGAAAAAGTTTAACGGTTCCAACACCATGAGATGATACTCTAGAGTCATCAGCTAGTGTAACAAAACGTAAAGGATCGGGAGAGGATAAAGAGGAGAACAAAGATTTGTTACCGATAATATGATCAGTGGCTCCTGAATCAAAAACCCAAGGACCAGAAGAAGATTGGGTCGGACCGAGCAAAAGATGTACCTGTGTGTGCGACAGCACACAGTGGAACTAGAAGACTGTTGATCCTTATACCATTTGAGAAATTTGTTGAACATAGCAGGTGTGTCTGATGAAATAGAAGGAGGATCCTCAGCAGATAAAGGTGGAAAAAAATCAGTCTGAGCAACTGCAGTAGATCGAGTAGGACGACCATGTAATGCATAACACTTGTCAATCTTGTGACCTAGTTTGCCACAATGTTCACACTCATGTAATGCATAACACTCGGTCAATCTTGTGACCTAGCTTGCCACAATGTTCACACTTAGGACGTCCTTTTCCCCGTTTGCGAGGGCGAGTTCGATCATCACTGTGAGATACCAATGCGTAAGAATCATTAACGAAGCGTGTGTGTCGGATTGAGTTTTGTCTGGTATACGCAAAAGAGTGGAGCAGGTCGATGTCAAGGTGGGGACAACCGGAGAACCCAAAATCCGATCACGAATATGTGAATATTGATCAGCAAGTCCGTGTAATGCCCCTAGCATGAAGAACTTTGATCGTTGTCCTATCTCGGTGAGGTGGTCGGGGAAGGAGGCAATAACTCATTGAACTCATGAAAAAGAGCATGAATTTTGCCCATATAATCAGTCATAGAATCTTGATGTTTAGAGGCGATAACATCTACAAATTTAGAACGAGACATCATAGAGACGTTGAGTATCATTGGTGTATAATAACTTGGCATGTTCCCGGATTTTGGCACATGTTTCGTAGGAACGAAAAATTTGTTTTAACGAAGGATCAAGAGTACCCTTGAGAACCACGCATAATTGAGCATCAATGGTGTCCCAACGGTCTTCCTCACTAGGAGTGAGAGTAGGTGCATTCGGGGCAAGATGATCAAGATACTTCTGACTCTTAAGCCATAATCTGACGTCTGATGACCATGTGGCATAATTAGGGCCAGTTAACTTGTCAATGGATAAGTGCACATTAACATAGTTAGTGTAGATGGAAGGATCAGACGCAATACTGACAGAATTGGAAGTACTAAAAAGAGCGGAAGAACTCATAAAGGGCGGAGGCGATAGTGACAGTGGCGTGAACCAGTACACCAGGTAAGTTCTCAGGAAAGAGAGGTGGGTCACTAATGGACACGCTTAAATACCAAGTCTTTCCTTGTCACAACTTTCCTAGACATGCACTTTCACACTACCAAATAACCGACAACGATAGCGGCGGTGGTGGCGACTTCAATAGTGGTCAAAGGCGAAAAAAAAATTCAAAATAACCTTAAGCTCTAGATACCATGTTGAATATAGAAGAAATAGAGTTTGAGATTAATCTCCCTTATGTATAAATCACACATAGGGTAGTCTATTTATAGTAGAAAGATACAACTAAAAGAGTAACTGAAAGTAACAGAATAAACAGAAGATATTGTTTGATATTATGGTTAATATCTAACAATATTTTAACAATATTAAATAATATCTAAACAATATCTAACAACTAGAAATCTTGCTTGTCGTATAGATAGGCAATAGAGACCATAGCAGACAGGATGTCAAAATTATCTCATGGTTTAAAAAATCCGGCTGAACACTCATGTCAGGGCTTGTTTGATGTGGCTTTTTTGGGGGGTTCATGGTCCAAAACAATATTTTGCTAATAAAATCAATTAAATAGTTGTTGATTCTCATTCTTCCCCAATCGAACCTTCACTTATGTGTACAATGTCATTCAAGCTGATTTCCTTCCAACGCAACATTTTGCCTGTATTTTGTCTTCTCTGGTCACTGCTTTCTTTGCCTATGTTTTCAGTTTTTATAAATTATTATAGTAATAATTATACCAAAATTTTCATAATAGTGGCTATCCCATTATCTATTTGCTACCCTTTCATGGCATTTTTGGGGTTGACACTATGCGCCACTATCCAAGATTTAAAATATTGAGACACCCAAAGTTAAGTAAGAAGTGTTAAAGCAAGTTAAGCCCAATCTTTGACAAATTTCTTCTTTTGTGAAGTGATACGTTAGAGAAATCAGATAAGTCTTTGAATATGCTACGAAACTGAATAACTAGTAGCAATTATGCAGAGAAATAAAAAACAGGAGAAGGAAGAAGGAAAACTTAGACGAACATCCTAAAGAAAACGAAAATCAATAGGAAATAATCACTACTCCCAGAGCACAGCTCCTATATAGAGATATTACTCTCCGCTGATAACCCAAAAGATACTATCCAATACCCCTTCCTCCTCTCTATACGAAAACCAAACAATTTGTAACTAACCCTCCTTTTCTTTTTCTCTTTCTGCCAGCTCATCAGATAATTTCTATCTTTCTTCTATTTCTCCTGTTATAAAATCTTCAATTTGTAGGCCTAACGGGGAATTGTTGACCCCACATTTCTTTTTTTATTGTGTGATTTGTCTTGGACACTTACAGAATAAATACAAGTCATAATTCTTTTAACCCTTTGGATTTGTCATATGATGATCGGGTATCTTCTTCTCAAAACCTTCCAACATCAAGTCAACGTAGTATGCCACACGAGGTCCAATAAAACTTCTTCCTTTTGCCATGAAAATCTTACTATAGCATTGTCATTTGCTACATTGTCTCACTTTTTCGACAACATTATCTTCCCTAACATTTTCAACAATGTCATTTATCATAAAGTTTCTCAGCTATTTTAGGGTTGGTTTAGAAAGATGATTATCTTTGGACTGGTTATCAAGAATTCACTATCATCAACATTCTTTTGTTGGTCCACCCATTAGTCATATTATGGTGTGGCATGTTTCCTCCATGCTATGTGCTTCCAAAGCATCCTTTTTGAGTGGAAGATCTTTTCTCAAATACTTTACCCTAATCATTTGATGAGATCTTAAATCATGACCATGTTGTGTTACCTGAATCAAGCATTATGCCAAATTCTTCATTCCTTATCATATTAAATGGTATAACATAATTGTAGAAAAACGTAGCAATATTTATTTTTTATTTTTTATCTTTTTCTCTCTAATTCCTCTGAAACATTTGATTGATGGTGGTTTATGAGCAGGCTTTTTTCTACAAAATTTAGCGCAATAAACTTCCTCTTCTTCAGTCAGTCCTTTTTCTTTTGTCACCAATTTTTACATCCTCGACCTCATGAAATCTTGATTTCTTTTTAAATTTACTGTGAACCCCTAAACTACATCAAACATTTCTTTATTTCACTTCATCACTTAACACTTTTGTAAGCACCAATATTTTTGGGTTCCAACCAAGTGGTGCTTCAAGTGGGAAACACCTCTAGTGATGATTTTGGTGGAACCCAGCTTGGATCCTCTTGAAACACTACCTGGGTACAAGCCAAAAAGATTTTTCTTTTTCCAAAAGTGGTAGTGACAGAAGTGAAGAGAGAAATGCTTGATGCTGTTTTGGGTTTGTGGCAAAATTTAATCAGGAAATCAATATTTTACGAGGGAGAGGATGTAAAGTGGTCACAAAAAGTACAGAAAAAAGATGTTGGCAATTCTAAAAAATTACCATCAATCAATTATTTAAGAAGAATTAAAGAGAAGATGTTAGAAAAGAAATTTTTTGGTTTATCTGCAGTAACCTTAACATCATTTAAGGTAACAAGTGATGAAATTTAAAAGATTATTTTCAAAGACTTTTGTTGCTTTATGATAAAAAGGGCATGTTTGGGACAGTAGTCTTAGAAAACTTCTTTATTATATGTATTTGAAAATTATAGCATATAGTTAATTTTTCTTATATAAAGGTTAATTTTTTAGTTACACTCAAACGACACTAATTATCTCAAAACCACTTTTCAGCAAACTTGCCTAAATAAAATTGAATGTGATTTTAACCAATAATAAAAATTGATTATACATGTAAGCAATTATGGAATTAATTTAACTTTTGCAGCTAATCTAAACACATCCTTTTAATGAGCCTTGTTGTGGGCCGGACCCATTATTTGTTTATCTTTTAACCCGAAACAAATGCAACAACACGATGATTTTGTGAGTTTGCTTGTTGATCCCCTACGAATCCTAACCTGGACATGCTTTGACATGTATACAGATCGCAAAAACAGACAATTTTATGTGTCAGCTCATGGTTTTGCCTACATTGCATTTGTTATTATATCAAAAAAGATTTGTTTATGTTAGAAATACAGTTTGAGATCAAGAGGAGGGTTGAATTGATCTAATAAAAAACTTTTCGCAACTTTTGAGTATAGGGTATAAATTTCAAAGATTGAAAATCAATTCTTGAACCAAATAACAACAATCTTGAATGAAAGAAAGAGATGAAAGAAAAGCAAGAACACCAAGTTTATACTGGTTTACCCAATCCATTTAGCTATATCTAGTTCTCAACCAAATTTCAGTTGAGTTCCGCTAATCAAATACTGATCGATTACAATAACAGATTGTAGAAAAACAATCTACACCAAGAATTTTAACCCAGTTCTTGAACCTATGACCGCAACTACACTTCCAGCGGTTAAAACAAGTGCCCACAATTCCAGACACCAAAAATACAATGAACCTAATGAGAAATGAAGAAACTCGAAAAAACTACAATAATCAAATCAATATGCAGATGCAAAGATCCAATCACATAATGAGTTTCCTCAAAAACAAGAACAAAGAGCCTCAAGAAAGATTGCTAAAGAATTCTAATAAGAAAGGCGCGTTTCTTTCTTGGAAAAGATCTGTAAAGATTGTTTGATTGATTTCCCAAAGATGTGTTTTGAAATGTGATTAATCGATTAAAACAATTTATCTTAAATGAATTTAACTGATGATAATTTATTTTAATCGATTAAAAGGTTTTACTATTTTTTTCCAAGACGTTTTAATTGATAAAAATGTGATTTAATCGATTAAAACAATTCGGATATTTTTCGAGACGTTTTAACCGATGAAAACGAGGTTTAATCGGTTAAAACTATGATACAAAAATTGTTTAAGTATTTTTAATCGATTATTTCGAAAATATATCAGTTGACAGAATATCTTCTATAACTTCTTAAGTGAAATTAATCGATTATTTTGAAGATATATTAGTCAAAATTCTGACAGAAGGTTTTCTAAAACTTTTTAAGTGAAATTAATCGATTATTTTGAAGATATATCAATTAAAACTGCGACAGAAAGTGTTTTCAATTTGTTTAAGTGGTTTGAATCTATTATTTCAAAAATGTATCAATTAAAATTGCGACGAGAAAATGTTTTCAAGCTTTTTAAATAATTTTAATCGATTATTTAAAAAACTTATCAATTAAAACTGTGATTGAAGAACATACTAATCGATTAAAACGATTTTTAACATATTAAAAATACTTGAGTAGACACTTTATACTTTTGTATAAGACAGAAACCCATGCTATAGGAAATGATAGATGCTTATACCTACTCAAAGTAGATGCAGACTCACTAATGGACTATCACAACATCTTTTATTTAATAACTTCTTTTGATTTCATCAAATCTTCTAGTCAAGACTTCTAAGATTCTTCTTATTAGCTTCTTCATCAGTTTACTCCTTGCCATTCTATCTCACTAATTTTGTTTCATTTCGAAAATCATGATGTCATTACCTTTGTTGTATGCCATTTCATATTTGTATTCACCCTAAATTTTAGGCTTGTTACAAAAAAAAAGTTTTAGTGGGCCCCTTCTTTGGGCTCTGATCATCACTCTTCTGGTTGATTAAATAGTATCAATTTGTCTACTTGCTTAACTCTCTTTGAAGATATTTGACCTTTTAATACATATTCAAGTTGGTAATCAATGATTAATTGTTCATTTCTATAATAAAAAGGAAATCTTGGAACTTTCATTTCATAGGCATAAAGTTTATCTTTCTATTTGTTATAACTGTTTATGAGGAGTGTTAGAAACACATTCTCTTATTTGTAAAATTTTTTTGAAAGCCATCAAATCACGAGACAGATTTCATTAAATAAGATGTGAGATCTAGAAAATTGTGATTTTCAGTAAATTTCAACAAATAAAAGAGTGTATTTAAAAGATCGTGTCAAAGAGAGTGTTCCTAGATTTTTTATTTTTTCTTTGTTTGTCAACTTATCTAGGTGACTCCAGAAGCCAAAAAGAGAGCAGCAGAAGCAAAGTCAAGAGGGGATGAGGCATTTAAAGGGAAAGACTATCATATGGCTATGGATTCGTATACACAAGTACGGTCTTTGATCTCTCGTTTGGCTCATATGTTACTCAGATATGTTCCACTAGTTATGATCATCCCTTCTGTTAGTTATATTTCTCAATAATGTTTCTATGAACTTACGCAGTGTCTACCTATATGAGCCTATCTAGTGGTGGTTTCGAAAAAAAAATGTCTGTACTTCATTCTTTACGATGATCAAGTGTTTTGTTCTTATTTTTCTTTTTTTAAATTTGTTTACAGGCAATTGATCTGGATCCGACTGATGCTACTTTGCTATCTAATAGAAGTCTCTGTTGGATTAGGTTGGGCCAAGCTGAGCATGCTTTATCTGATGCAAAGGCCTGTAGAGCTTTAAGACCTGATTGGCCAAAAGCATGTTATAGGGAAGGTGCAGCTCTGCGTGTGTTGCAGGCATGACATTCAGAAAACTTTGCCCTTAGTAAGAGCAGTATATGTGATTTCCATTTCTAAAACTATACTTGGCTATCCTTGTTTCAGAAATTTGATGAAGCTGCAAATGCATTTTATGAGGGAGTAAAACTTGATCCCGAAAATAAGGAGCTTGTAAATGCGTTCAGGTCTGCATACTATTTTATTTATCAACACTTCTTGGCATATTGACATTACAGTATGCAAAGGAATTATTATGATCAAGATTTAGGATGATTCCAATGAGCTTTCTGTGTCATGGTTTGGGGCAAACATAATTTACCCAAGCATGCATTATGCACTTGTTAAACATAATTATACAATGCATAAGAGAGTTCTAGCGTGCGAAGATTTATGACAATTAAAAAATAAAAAATAAAATCACTTGGTGAAGGCCATTTTTAGTCTAAGTGTTTAAGAGAAAAGTGTAACTTACTAAATCATAACAGAAACTTCTGCATCCTCCACCCACTGTTGTGATTGCTACTCGAGTTTTAAGTGATTTTTTATGTAACTCACATTGCCAACCCAACACTGATAGTAGCCTTCAATCTTTTACAGGGAAGCTGTCGAGGCTGGGAGGATATTTCACGGAACGGCTGAAAAGAATTCATAGTTGGGGCTTTGTTAACACCTCTTTATCCCGCATTGGTGTACGAGTTTTATTTAACGAGGCACGGTCGTACTGGAAGATTCATTAGTTAGAAAGGTTGTGCATATTTGACATGATCCAAAATTAGTGCAATGATATGGCAATGCGGGCAAATTGCATGCTGACAAATTCATATCGCCAATTGCTAGTTTTGGTGATATTGTATGAATGCTTTTATAGGTATTTATGCAATACTTCTGTAGGCTTCGTTTGTCTGAAGTTCAGAAAAGGATAGAATTAATTTGGAAATTTCGAACGTTAAGATGTGTGCCCAAATATTTATATTGAAATCTTTTTTAAGTTAGGGAGTGATGATTTTGTGTAAATGCCAGTCTTTACTATGACCCTAATCAAGATGTTCGCAGTCTCAAAACACAGTTTCTATCATTTTTTTTTTCATTTTCAAATATTGTTTATGTAATGGGACAATTTTGACACGTCCTTCTTATTTTCTCTCTAGCTTATCCATTTTATTCTCTTTCTTATTGATTAGTTTAATTATTTGATAACTATTATTTTGTAATAATGAGAATGACTGAAATTATTTCATAAGATGGTATTAGAACTTTTCTAGGTGTTTCCTTTTTTCCGCTGAACAAACTTTGTTAAAGAAGAGTAAATAGTGCGTTTCTGAAAAAAAATGAAAATAAGAATAGCGTTTTCTAATAGAAGAGAATCGCACAGTAATATCAACGTTTGCACTATCGAACTCTCCATGTGTCTACGTGTCTGGTTGAGAGGATGGACAAGTCAAGATTAAATAAATATAGTAAAAAAAAATGTTAGAAATATTATTTTATTATTTTTTATTTAAATTAAATATAAAATATTTTTATATTTTTTAGAATAAAAGAAAAATATTATATTGTTATTTCAATTTAGATAATTATAATTAAAATATTATTAATATTTAATATTTTATCATATTTTTATTTTATATATATATATATATATATATATATATATATATATATCTTAAAAATTCTCATAAAAAATACAAAAAAAATAAAAACTAAAGAATTATTCTATTGTTTATTACTTAATTCCATTCATCTCTCTATCTATCTTCTCATTTAATTTCTATTTTCTTTAACCAAACACCTTTAATTTATATTTTATTTTTCATCAATTTCTAGTCTATCAATTTGTTTTCGTCCAAACTATTTCTCTCTTTTTTCCAATCAAAGCGTTAGAAGTGTCTGATAGAGATGAAATAAAAATAAATAAAAATGAAGATTGATTGGATGAATAAAAATTAAAAATTCTCTTACTTTCTATTCGAAACATTAAAATATTTAGTAAATTTTATGAGTGTTCAATTAGGCCGTAATAAAATTCATTAAATAATTTACTATTGATATTTTTCCACGTAATAATATAAAAGGTTGGGGGACTTTTAACATGAAAAGTATACGCCTAAGACAAGACTACAAGAGCTAACAGATCCATCATCATAAAGAATAACAGTTTTTTTTTCTTTTACTATATAGATTTTATATAAAATTATCCTTACATTTCCATATTTTCTTCCTACTATTCATAAATTATTTTAAATGATAAAAATATCTTTATGTATTCTTAAACTTTGTGCGCATCTTCATGATTTCATATGATGGAAGCGCCACGTTGAGGGAAGTGAGGGAATAGAAAGAGAAATGTAGTGAATCCACTCTTCTCAACATTTTTTGGAATGAGATTTTTAGAAATATTTTGAATTCGCCTTTCCGAAAACTTTTTAGAATCAATTTTCAAAAAAAAAAAAAAAAACTTTTGAAAAGATTAATCCAAAATATTTCTAGAATGTTTCCGAAATAAATTTTGGAGAAAATTTTCAAAATGAACTTTCTAAAAACATTTCAGGATTAGTTTTCCAAAAAGTTTTTAAAATAAACTTTCCTTATCTTTTTATAAGTGTTTTGAAATATTTCGAAAATTTGATTATAGGACATAATTTGGTCCAACCCAACTCATAATTGTTATTTACTAGAGCAACCGTAAAAGTACTTGCCTACTATGGAGAAACCTAATTCCCTTTTATATACGGTAATAAAGCGTATTTAGAAAGAGAAACAAATAAAACGACAACCATTTCTGCTATTACATTACATGATAATGAATGAACGAAGAAACCATCGTAATACTAACAAATACTCGTTTCGAATCCAGAACGAGCCTTTTATAACAGCATGGCTTTATTTATTTTTCTATTACATCTTTCTTTATTCAATTTATTCTCTTGTGACTGAGTAGAGCACACACAAGGAAAATGCAAAGTTTAGTCACCGCAATTCACAAATTCGTAGTTAACAATAAGATGGCCTTGAGCATAGCCATTGCCATCAGTGTCTATCTGTTGGAATGGACCAATATCCAAGTCCAAGCCCCCGTTGCTGCACTGGTCAACGATCCTCACTGTCACCTGTGCATTTGTTCTGGTGTTTGTCACCTGCAATGCAACCCCATCATCATGCTATTTGCTTTGTTCCATCAACCAAATTATTATTACATATTTACACATGCAAGTTATGCTACAATAGTCTTCTTTTTTAGGTACAGAAACCTAAACCAAGTTGAGTTTCAAAGCTTATAAAAGATGGAAAAAAGTTGAAGAAACTAAGAAATACGTACCCTCAAGCACTTGCCACAAGATTCTTGGCCCTGAGGACCAGAGGGTCCACAGAAAGCTGTCCAACCATATTTGCTGCGCCATGCCAAGGATTTGTCAGCATCCCAAGTGGAGCAATATGCACTCACTGCGCGTAAGTCCCAGTTATGCTGCTCAGGTTGGTACAGATGATACGTAGATCTCACATTGCTAGCACTCTGAGCTGAGGCCAAAGCCACAACACAAACCATACACACCACAAACACAGACACCTTTCCCATTATCCTTCTTCTTTGCCTTTCACTTGATTCAGTTGCTGCATCTGTTGCACATTTATAGGCCCTGTCTAGGATCACAAAATTATGAAAATGCCCTTTGAAAAGTATGATGCATTTATTTCCTTTACTAAGAGATCCAAGGAGATATAATGTGTGAGTTGCTTCATGGACGGGACACATGGCTTGTGGTGATGATCACCATCTTGGTTCTACAGAGAATATTCAAAGTCTTGGAGATGGAATTGATGTTGTTTGTTGAAAATTCTGCATGGCAGACATAGCGAAGAAAAAGAATGCATGAAAGTTCTGTTCAATTGGATATATACCAGTTTCTGAAACCATGTTAACTATTCTTTTAGTATGACATAATTTGTGAAAATATGTTAACTATATTACTTTTTGTATGACATAATTTTTGGTAATTCTTTTTCTTTTTAGCCTAATTCTTTCGCTAATTGTGTTTGTGTATTTCCTTATATTTATCTGCAAGTAATTAAAAACAAAATTGCATCTTGAATTTGACACAAATATATAATTAAAAAAAAAATTAGATCAGATTGAATCAAATAAAAATTTAAAAAGTATCGACTATTGGGGATGGTGGTCACCATAAGAAGTTGAACTCTCTCGAAATTTTCTGCTGTATGCGGTCAATATAATTCATTTCCACTCCAACTCCGTCATGAACATGACGTGGGTTTTTTTTTTATCAACATTAAAAAATAAAGAATGATTTATAAATGAATTAAAATATAAAAAATTATATTATTTACTCATATTTTATTTTATTTTATTTTTATAGTTATTACATTTATTTATGATGCTATTGCATAACAAAGGTGGTTTGAAATTTTGGAAAAAAATTATTCTCAATTTGAATAAAATTTTATTTGATCTTTTTATTAAAAATTATGTTTTTCTTTTTTTCTCCGTTTAGTCTTAAGACTGTCCCCGAAAATTTCGCAACAAAATGCGCCCTAAACAAAATTTTCCGCAGCCATATATCATGGATTGATTGACCTCTTTTATCTCTCCACATGGTATAAATAATATACATAATTAATACCCAAAACATAAAAAATATATCCACATTTTTTTATATAATTAATTTTAAAAAAATATTTTTAAAATTGTATTTTATTTTTTATTTAGTTATTATTTTACTAATTAAATATCCTTTTTTTATATATTAACTATTTTTTTAATATATAAATTATAATAATTATATTTTCTTAAAATTACGATATTTTTGTTTTTTAATAATAAAAATGGAAATTTTATTATTTGTAGTTATAAATATTATGAATAAAAATACATAATATAATAATTAAAAAAAATACTATATATTTTAAGATAACAAAATCATAGTCCCACCAAGTACGCAAATTACAAGACTAATGCGCATGCACTTCAACTTCACCTTCAGTTTCTGATAAGAATTAAGGAATAATGACATGTCACGGAAGGGTTTATGTTTGCTCGAGTCTTACTCACTATACAAATAATTAATTGAATATTTTTTGTAAATTTATTACATAAATACATATGTATTTATAAATTGATTTTTTTATATAATTTGTAAATTAAGTGTTTTTCAATTCAAATGATGAAAGTGTTAATTTTTTATTGGAATGATCGTGAAATTTTTTTATTTTCTTTTTTTACTTTAAAATAAATTTTGGAAGTTATGAATCTTATTTAAATATAAATTTTAAAGTATATTATAATTTTAATTTAATTTAGTTTTATATTAAATTAATAAATTATGGAATTAATTTTGATCTGATTAAAATTTATAAAAAATATTAATATATTTATAAAAAATAATTAATTAAAAAACATTTAAATAAGATTAAAATATATTTTTAAAATTTAAATTATATTAATAAAATTAACTTTTATTTAAAATATAAGATTTAATATATAAATTATAATTAATCTATTCAATATCAAAATATAAGTTAAAAATTTATTTATTATTATTATTTTTTTTAATTTATTGATTAAAATAATAATTAATCTTAACTATTAGATTTTAAAATAAGTGATAAAATTATATTTAAGAAGTGATTATATATTTAAGTGATTGTTAAAAATTTATTTTTATATTTATTTTTTGAATAAATGAAAATATTTTTTTTAATAAAATAATAATTTTTATTTAAATAATTATTATTATATAACCAATTAACCAATCTAAATCTAAGTTTATAATGGTCAAATAAGATTTAATTTAATTTATATTATAATTTTTTTATCTGGTTTTTTTAATCGATTTACTTATTTTGATATCCCTAAAAATTATCATATTGATAACATAATTTTACGATAATATATCTATATTAAAATATAAAAGATGCACCATTTTCAAGTATATATATTTTTTAAGATTTTATTTTTTATAAAATAAATATTTATTTTCCAATTTTCATTAATAATAAAGAATAAAAAAACAACGGTAACCACATCTTTCAAATTATAATTAACTTCTGTCCTATTATTTCTTAATTATCGTGTATTCCTCATTGTTAGAAACTCCTTGAAGGTCAATGATTTTTTTTTAAGACTCCACTCTTCTTCTTTTTTTTTTAAATCTTAAAAAAAAGGAAATACAATTGGAAAGAAATTTCCGTATGTCGAAAAATTTATGCGAGACTTAAATTTTAATTTTAATAAAGTACATATTAAACAAGTATTTAATCAAACTATTTCTATATAATAAAGTCACATAAAATAAATAATATATATATTTCATTTTAAATAATATAAAATTAAAATCGTAATATAAATAAAGTGTCTATTGTAGTAAGAAAAGAAAATATATAAAACTAAAGAAAATAAATAAAAAAGAAATAAAATAGAGTAAATAAATAAAAATTTATTTTTGAGATAAAAATATTATGAAAAATAAATGAAAATTTTCATTTTAAAAATAGTAAATAATTAAAATATTTATTCAATTACAAAATTATTCATATAATTATTATTTAATTTTTCAGTAATAGAATAATTTTTTAAAATAATATCTTTAAATTAATATCTAACTTTTTAATAATATATATACTTTATTGATAATTATAATTTTTTAAAGTATTTAAAATTAAATTAATAAAATAATATTATATTACAAATAAATAAATAAATAATATTAAATTATTCATTAGATTTTACAATATCATATATTTTATTAAAATAATATATCTATATATATACATATTAAAATTATAGATATAAAAATAAATAATTATTTTTTAAAATAAGAATAGATTTATAAAATAACATATATATATTTTAAATATTCAATTATTAATTAAACATTTTCTTAATAATAATACTTTAGTTTTAATCCAATAATCACAGTAACGAGGTAAGGTTAAAATTGTCGTACCCTTTTCTTGTCCCTAATTAATTTAATTGACTTGAATCTGTCATCGTCAAACTCCAAGTGCGTTAACGTGGTTAAGTTGATATTTTGCATTAAAGAAAAACCTACCCTCAAGTCAATGAATGACTTTTCCACTGACCAATAACTCCTCTTTTTCAAAGGACTAAAAGCTAGGGATAAACTTTTAAACTAGCCTCTGCATCACGCACTGTGCCTGCAATTAATATTATAAAATTGATAACTGCGATGACGTTTTTGGAGACCATACTGAGAAAGAGAAAGTAAGAAAGTGACAAAGTTGGATATTGATGCGATGTGATTAAGGATAACAAAATCCTGAATCCCAACTAGTGATTGAGTTGAGAGCATATATGTAGATGCATGAAGTGTTTCCAAATGGAAAGACTCTTCTGCACTCTCACATATCATGCTTCCAAATTCACTTATTCATATTTCTGCAACAAGTGAGAGTGAGTTTATTAATTAGTTAGGAGAATGGAGGATGAAGGGTGTGGTAAGGTGGAGATGGTTCCCACAATCCACAAACTGATAGTTAACAATGAGATGCCCTCGTTGGTACCCTTGCCCATCTGTGTCCAAACGGTTGAACACTCCCACGTCCAAATCCAACCCTCCATTGCTGCACTGATCAACAATCCTCACTGTTGTCTGCGCTCCAGTCCCAGTATTCGTCACCTGCATCATCCCACACATTCATTTCCACCTCACACTCCTATTTAATAAACTCAAAACAAGAAACATCTACAACAACAAACTTCTTATTACCCGGAGGCACTTTCCACAAGAGTCTATGCCACGAGGTCCGACGGGGCCACAGAAAGCAGTCCACCCATATTTGCTGCGCCAAGCGTAAGATTTGCCAGCGTCCCAAGTAGAGCAATAAGCACTCACGGCGTTCAAGTCCCACCCGTGTAACTCTGGTTGGTAGTAATGATATGTCGCCCGGACATTAGACGCGCTTTCTCCTCCGCCGCCTCCTCCACCGCCGCCCCAGCAGTTGCTCTGGCAGTTCTGAGAGGGTGAACAGTATTCTTCGGTGTTGCCGCACCACCCGTATTGACTGCAGCAGAGGTTGTCGGGACATGTCTTCCCACCGGCTTGTCGACCGCATTGTTCGGCGGCGGCCGTGACAATCAAACACAGCAATAGCACGACACCTACTCCAACTTTTCCCATCTCTCTCTCTCAACCTTGAATTCACGTCTTCTTTCCAAACTTTGAATCACTATTTATATAAATAATTCATACTTAAGGTAGCCATCGTAGTCCAGTGTGACGGTGTTTTGCTTTCATGCATCACCATTCATTTATGTTACGACACCATACGTACCAACGCCACGTGCCGGCGGCTATACCATAAGATCAGAAGAAAAGAGAAAGGAAATATTGGTTGGATTTTTAAATGCAATATTTGGATTACAATTATATACGTTCAAATATGAACATGATAAAAGGAAAAACATTTCCACGGATCGTAAAAATTTGGGATGAAAAAAAAATTAATTATAAAAATATTATTATAACACATGAGATTAAATATTCTCGTTTTTAAATGGGAGATTTGTATTTCCACTAATTAATATAATAATAATAATAATAAATCTTAAATTTGTTATATATAATACAAAACGAATGGCTTGAATTTCACTGTTATACACCAGGATGAAATTGATTTGAATTTTAATGAATAAAATAAAATATAAAAATAGTATTTTACGTGGGCCCCAGAGTGTATGAGATACAATACAAACAAGAGCACTGTAGCGAATGGGGCGGCTAAAGGTTTGAAGTTTGAGAATTGGTCAACAATCCACTCTCCCAATCTGTCTGCGCCTCCGGTCTCTCATTCTTTAAGTTAGGTTTTCAAATCATTAAAAAAATTTAACTATCCTAATAATTAATTATATTCATAATTATTGTTATTATAATCTATTATTAAAATTTATTTTTTATTTGAAAAATATATTAAAATATTTTTAAAACAATTAGTTTCATTTGAATGTAACAAAAGTTTAGTTTTATATAAAAGGAAATGTATGAAATAGAGAATAAAAAATAGTTATAAACTAAAAGTGTGAAAAAAAGTAAATAATGTTGACTTTTCTGGATTGTTGAGGCGAGCTTAAGACTATATGGGCTCAAACAAGTTTGGCGTAGTGGTTTCAAAAACAGCGTGTTACACTTCACTTCAGGCTTGTTAATAACCCATGATCACTTCAATTAACGACTCATAAACCACTATCATGATTTCCGTTTTCTTTGCAATTGTGTTTCATGCAAATAATAGTAATCATAATTGTTACAAATATCACTGATAAAAATAAATAAATAAAATTGTACTAAAAAATAATGTTCAATTAATCAGTGTAAAAGTTTACCTCAGTTCCTAATCCCTGAATTTTAGGGATGTAATTTTAAGTGAGGTGAAAATTTAACCCTCTTTCGAAATTTTGAACTTATCAAAATACCTCCTCTCCCATTCGGCCATTACCAAACACTGTTTGTTAGCTAAATCCAAATCCTGTAACTTTATTGCACTACCATGATTGCAAAGGTTTAAAATTTTAGATGGTTATCCTTATCCTAAGTTCTACTTTATGTCACATTCATCCCAGTTTTCTTTTTCATCCTTGTACAACACTGTCAATGGTATTTAAACAATGGCTCCATGAGCACGTGTCCCTGTAAGTGTCATGGAGTTTAAATTCTGTCAAATAACACAAGTTTGAGGTTTGTAAATCTAGTTTTCTTGATAGAATTAAAAGAGCTCCTCCACCTTTGAAGTGAAATTACTAAACTTAACTCACTACACTAAAAGTTTGTGTTCAACATCAGAAGTGTGAATCCAAATAAACAAAGTTTTACCTTTGAAATTGAAGAGACGTGGTGATATGAGAGAGTGAAGGAGCGCCACAGGAAAGAAAGTGGGAACATGTGAATAAAATAGTGGAGCCCTTAACCAAAGGCTGTTGCACCAAGCACATGATCCAATCTGGCCCACCTTATCACTTTCTTCATTATTCATCGTCTATTTCCTTCCTCAACCAACCACATCCATCATAGATTATGGATTCTACTTCTTAATTATGTGACAGATAATAGCACGTTGCACAGTTAATTAATACCTGTGTGTAGGGTATGCGTATGCTACATACGTACAACTACAATCGTAGACATCGTTCTTATTAGACATGCACACCAACGATAGACATTTAACGTTCGAACTTACAAACAAAAACGGGCTCATATAGACATACTCCATTATTTCTTGTCCCTAATTTCCAACTACTTTCTCATATATATGAAATAAAATACACAATACATAATATACAACAAAATTATTTCTAAAAAATGGTACCCACACATCATACATAACTTGGCCCTTGCTCCAGAAATTAACTAACTAAGCATTAATGCTTCACATGGATACCAACGAGGATCAGAGCATATTGTCGTGGAACGTGGAGTTAATGAACAAATTAAACTCTAGCTTCTGTTCTTGCATTTTTCCACTGCTCTCGGTGCTGTAAACAACAAGTAATTAATTAAGATAAAATCTTTTGTGGTTGATTTTGAAAGTTGATTAAGGTAACTAACCTAGCCCAATTGCTTCAGATCCTTTCATTATACGCAGGCGCTTGCATGATTCCACGAACATTCTGTAAGATTATACAACCGAATTAATAATTAATTGTGTATGCTATGAAAATGAAAAAAGAGATGATGAATTAAGAGGAGACTCACTCCCAGGGTACGTCACCCACGAGCATCCAGTCTCCATCTTTGTCTTCGTAGGTTGGAACGTAATCAGAGCCGTTGAGAAGATCAATCAACTTGGTCTCGTTCATGAAGTCTTTCATGCCTCGGGATCCACACTTGTCAATGGTGAATGAACTGAACATTTTTGCGAGTGCATCCGACAGCTCTTGGTAACTCTTGTACACCTTCAAATCGACTTTACGTAGATAGGGAGCACCGTCCATGCTCACCTTAACAAAAGCTCCTCCCATGTTCCCGTTGTTGTTGTTGTTGCTACTTGGGCCACCATTTTCCCCCTCTTTGTTGGTACTCCTTTGAACGTTGTTAACGATGTTCTTTCGGAATGACCTCACTGGTGGCCAACCCACCACTTGTGCCCTGAAAATTCACCATGAGTAACTTCATCAACAAATAAATCATCATGCATAGCTGCTATAATTTGACGGTCAAGGCACGGAAATTATTGTCAAGAAGAGCCGTGTGGTTTGAAATTTTGATTTTACAAAAAAAAATATTGTGGCTAACTTGGGGGATTATTGTGGCATATAATAATTGCCTGTGTTGGGCACATGTTTTTGGAATTAATGTTAATATGTTTGGCGATGGGACAGGGGCGTGGACTATCCTTTTCCTTTTTGGCCTTTGCTGGTTTGAGTGTGAGAAATTGTTGGGTGGTTGAGAAAAGGAAAGATTCCATGTGTTCTGTCCTTTTCCACTGTCTACCCGACAACGAAGCATGCCATCCGCAAAAGCAATCCACCCAAACTTCTGCATCCTCCTCCATCACTCGTTACTTTTTCTTGCTTAAAATCTCCACGACACTTTCCCTTTCTTCCAACCCCCATCACTAATACTTATTTATTTCCATTTACACTCTCGTTTTTACCTTCTTATTCCAAGTTAAAACCAAACTACAAACTAAATCATCCTTACGCATGCCCAATATTTGGATGAATCAAGTTCTGACCTGTCTATAATTGTTAATTAACTACTACCAAACTTGAAAGTAATTAGCCTGTGTTATGTTTTACAACTAAGACTTTCAAACGGATGTTAAACCAGAAATAATCCTACCCACTTTAATTTTCCTTGGTAATTCTAAACTGGGTATAAGTTGGTATAAGTTGTTACCTCCTTTTCTTAATCTCAGATGAAAACTAACACCATCTCATAGTTTCCGTGGCGAGTTCCTTTATAAGTTAGGTACTAACATGACCCTTTTCATTATCTGTCTTACCAATTTTAAAAACCATCGGTGCCAAACAAAACAACCATTTTCTTATTATTATCTTCCACATGGATCAAAATTTTAACTAATGATAACACAGTTAGGCGCACTAATTAAAACCATGCATGCATTAAACACAAGCATAAAATAATAAAAGCAACAACAAAAATAATGGCATGTTACATAACAACTGATTCATATGAATTTTTCATGAAATAGGAAGTAAAATGATTTAAAAAAAGGAGGAGAAACTAACTTTGCGGGTGGCTTTGCTGGGTCCTTAACGCTAGGAGGAGAAGGAGGTGTAGTGATGTTAGCAGTAGCAGAAGCGTTGTTCTCTTTGGCCATCTGAGAAGAGGGTGAGGCGGAGACATTGTTTGAGGTTGAGGAAAGGTTAAGCTTCAAATCCACGGTAGCACTGCTTGTATCAGAAAACCCTCTCTTCCCAGTGAAGGAACCAGTGCAAGTGTTTCTGATGAGCGTGGACTCGCCCTCGTTTGCACTCAGTGGCAGCCCGAGTCGCAACTCGGTTTCTTCAAAATCGATCATCTTGTACTTGTCACGCTCGGCCTCCATAACACCAGTCATCAATTAATTAATCGGGTATTACACACGACACGAGCAACCTCGAGAATTGAGAGTTAGTTGATGTCGGGACAGGGGTGCGTGAAGGAGATTCGTTTGATTGGGTGCAGAAACCTAAATACGGTGTTTGAGAATTGAATTGAATTGAAAGAAAGAAAGAGGGTGTGTGTTTGGAACGAGGTTTTGGTGATATATGTTGAGAGTGTGGTGTGTTACAGGGACATCCGGCGGTGGATATGATCCCACGTGTGAGAGATTCTGATGGTTGGATTTTCCGCTGGTTGTCGGGTGATGACGTCATGGATGATGTCATAAAACTGGGAATAATTGAGTTTGGTTCTGCCTGCTTTTCATTTGTTTTTCAGGCTCCACACACCAATTATTATTTCCATTTTTCTAAACTTGGTTAAGCAAAAGAATATTTATTCATCCGCTGTTGTCCTTTTTTATCTGTAACATGTTTTTTAACTCTATGTAAGTAAAAACAGAAAAACTTAGCATAGATCATTGTGTTATTCTATCGGTTTTTAAAAATTAAATCCACACATAATAAAAACATTGATTCATCACCTCCAATACATAAACAATAATTGTCACACCACACACTAAAAATATTGGGAGAAATAAGAGGAAAAAAAAAAGTTAATGGAAGGGGATGAGAGCAAGACTTAATTAATTATAATTTAATAGAAAAATGATATTTGACAACTTAAATCCATTAAACTCTTATAAACAACTCTTTTTTAATATTATAATAATAATTTTACTTTATTTTTATTTTTATTAAATCATTATATAGATTATTATATTAATAAAAATGAGTTATTTGAAGGGTTGTATGATTTCAGTATTCAAAATATCATCACTCAATTTAATAACATTGGTTATAGTAAAAAAAAAAAGTAAGTTTTTGTTTTTTTTTAATTTAAAAAAATGCAAGAGAGAAAGTGAGATTAAAAAAAAACTAATATCTCCGAAACATATACTCACATGAAAAGTAAAATTAACATTAATATGATTAAGTATTTTAAAGCTACATCAACAAATATTCATAAAAATTTTAAAACAATAAGTCTTATCAAAACAATTTTATTTTTTCAGATTATTAATGTAATAACAACAAATTTTCTTTTTAGTACTTTTAAAAACATAAGCCTAGTGACAAACAACTTGTGGCTAGTAATAACGGAAATTAACCTAATCATATTGCTGGTTGTTAATTAACGTTGTAAGGTAATATATTCTAAGTTGTTCAAAAACTTTGAATTTCGATTATAAGCATGTTAATATTTTTAAAACCAAATTTGTCGTTCTGAGTAATGTACTTAACTTAAACAAGATGACGGTCCATAGAGAATAATGGAACTAAAGGGCTTTACTTTACTTTACATGTTTTTAAGGATGATTTGTAATGTGAATATGAATATATTTAGCTACAGCAGATACATCATCATGGGTGAATGAAACCAATATTGTAATGGAAGATTATGCAGAAAAAAAAGGAGGGAGAGATAAGGGTTAACCGCATAAAAAATATGTATGTATATGTATATATGGTGATGTTGTTTGGCATTAAATCTTTATCAATCTTTTATCATACTTATCTTCTCTCCACTTTTCGTGGCCGCCATCTAAAGCGGTCGCCTAGGGAGGGTCCAAACACTGTTCTTGTTAAAAAGGTTTCACTGTTCTCAACCATGCCTTCAAACATTCGTTACTTTAATACCAATTTACCAATTAGTATCATCAACCTTCACTAATTACATTATTTAACCTACACTACCACACACCTTCAACAAAGTCTTCTCTTTCTATTTGCTTCCAATTCTGCGCCCATCATTTCAACCCAAGGTTTAAAAGCTCCGTGGCCACTTGTGATATATAGTGCCAATTTCTATATATCTTGTTTCACTCCATAACTATTCACGTAAATAAATTTATGTCGAGATCATAATTAATTAGGTAAAATTCTTTCTGAGATAACGATAATGACTTTGGGAGATAATGAGACATAAAGTAAATCTTGACTAAGATCCCAATTTGTTTTTACCGTGATTAAGTATTTCGTTCTTTGAATAGTATTGCTTTATTATACAACCAGAACTTTTGGACCACTTATTTAAGAAAAGGAATGATGCTCAATTCACACTCCAATAACAAGAGAGAAAAGGCTACAAAAAGGAAGATAAGAAAGGAAGTTAACTAATGGGTATATATATATATGTTCATGACAGATCCCTTCCCATTATGTAAATTAAATTCGTATTTTGATAGTTGCATACTATAATTTCCATAAGCTTGAGTTGCAACTAATAGTTACAGAAGATTCATGAGCTTAATCCTATGAAGAAAAATAATTGATAAGACTTGAGTTACAACTGATAATGACTGGTGACAGCTCATGGTTCACAAGTCCACAATTGAAACCAGAGCATACCTTGCTGTACAATGATCTGCATAATAAACATTTTAAATCACCTATTTTTGTTCAATAAAGCAAAGAATTGAAGCTATGTATAACAAATTTCATTTTCAGGATGAAACACAGTGGTCCTCACTGAGATGTTGTTTTCGTTCCTTTCTTGTTTGTCTTTTTTTGCCTTACCTTCTTTTGCATGCATGCATGCATTTCAAAAAATTAACTTAAAAAAGGTCAGAAAATAGCTATTTCTTTGAAAATGACACATTATGAAAAGGGTGGATTTGCCTAAAATCATCAGACAGAATGGTTTAACAGTAAACGATTAACTGGATGGAAACTAATATAGAAACACACATTGACGTAAAAAATGAATGTTATTCCCCTAGTTGAATCCGTCGGTGCAGTTATAGAGCGGTGGCTGAAGCAAGGGCCACACTGCATATAAATGCAATGCGATTCTAGGTTAAGTGCATGCATCGCACACTGCACATAACAAAAGCAAGAAAGGAACAAGAAGAGAGAAAATGACAGGATGCAGTTATTGGAACGCGGAAGCAGGTACGAGAGTGAGGCCCAAACCCAATGGGCTCTGAAGCCCCCTCCTCGTGTCTCTTCTCCACATCTCAGGCCCCACGCCTCTGCAATCATCTTTTTCCTCCCACATTCTCTTCCCATCTAAAACAAAACTGCATTTTCAATTCAAACCATTTTATTACACCACACGTGTGCCATTCATGACCTGATGTTGATGTTTTTCCTACTCTGTTCCTGTCTTTCAATTTTATTTGTTTTCTTCTGTTTCACTACCTTATCCACTTTAAATAAAGAAAGTAATATTTGTTTAATTACATTTGTTTAAAATGTGAAAAATAAAAAGAAAATGACGCTATTCAAAAAAATCATAAGGAGTAGTGATAACTACAATAATAAAAAAAAAAACCAGGTTGAATCGATGAAACTCTAAACAAGCTATACTAAATGATGTAGATTAAATTGATGTGGTTTTTATAAGAAGACTATATTTCAATCAGCTCAATATTTTCTCTACCCATTAAAATAATATTGATTTTATTATTTTATTTTGAAATTTTAATTTGTTACTGTTAAGATGATAGATTAAGAGAATATATATATATATATATATATATATATATATATATATATATATAAACTATCTGGAACAAAAGTTTATATTGGGTCCACGGCAAACGTAAATGTCAGAATGAGTATTTTAATTTCGTAATTTCTCAATTAATATTAAATTAATAACATTTTTTTGAATAGCTGATAAAAAATTAAGAAGAGATAACACGTATAGGTAAAATATTAGACCATATAAAAATTAAATTCTTTCTTTTTGTTTTAGTTAAATCTTTGAATTTTATAATTTAAATATGCAAATTATTCTCATAATTTTTTATAGTTTTTTTTTAATTCTTACCAATAACATATTTTTTCATTAAAAATGTATTTCTTTTATGAAAATAAATTATCTTAAAAAATGTACATCTGAGTACATTATAAGGTATAGAAATCTTCAAAACTTAAAAAAAAAAAAAAAAACTTTTATTTCAACTTGCAAGAGTGCCGATCCCAAAATAACTTTAAAGAATCTGTATACGTTGAAATGGGCCAGGCCCAATGCATTGTTTTAGGGTTCGAGTAACATAAATCGGCCTGGCCATGTGACAAATAGACTACTGTTAATATGATATGTACTAAGGGGCAAATCACCTTATTTCCTAGAAATTTATTAATTACTTTTAATAAATAAATTAAAATTAAGAAGATAATGAGTAAATTTATTCATACAAATAAAATTAATTTATATATAAAATATTTTTATTAAAATTTAAAAAATTCTATCAATTAAAATAAAATTTATTTTAAAATCATGATCCAATTTCACATTTTCTTTAATAAGTATTTAGATGATTTTAATAAAATTAAGTTTATATAATTTATTAGTGATTCAATACTTACGAGCATATCTTAATTGTAAAAAGAAAAGAAAAGTAAAATAAATCATTTGTAACAAATACTTGAAAAAATTATAATAATTATAATTAACAAAATTGCATGAGTACTTTTTTTTTTCTTTCACGACCATAATAACTTACAGGTTAAAAATGAAGCATAAAAGATAATCTATAATACAAGTGTTGTGTGTTTGGTTTGTAGTTTGACACACGCTTCAATGAAAAAAACTTGTGTCTTATTTCTTTGGAATAAACCTTCATCTAAGCAATTCAGTTGAAAAACAAAAATGTTCAAACAAAGTGGGCTCACACATAGATTAAGAGAATCCATGTCAATGCAGAATTAAAAAAAAAAAAAAAAAAAAAAAAAAAACACCATCTTAGTTCATAGTGGGACCTATGTCAACTCCAAGTTGGATCAATTACTAAGAAAAAAATCCATCAATTAATCTATGTTTAACAAATTATGCTTATATACGGTTCCAGTTAATCCAGATTTTACAACATTAATCGTAAATATTAATAAATTAAGTTTAGATGATTTATTATAATTAATTATTTTAACATATAAATATAATTAATTTAATAAAAAATTTAATTAATAAATAAAAACTTTATAAATTTTTTTAATGTATATATATATATATATAAATATTGGTTAATCTATTAATCTATCAATACACTCTTTCACTGAGTAGACTAAAGTTTATAATTCCTTCTAATTATAACAATTTTAATTTTAGCATATTAGAAGCAGGAGATGTCAACCTGTTTTGCGATGGTTAAATTTTAGATATAAGTACCATTTATTGAAAGAAGACCAATTTTTTACTACAGAAATAACATAGAATACTTTAGTCCTATAGTTTTGGCTCAAAACATTTTTTACTCTTATTACCGTAGAAAAAGTATTAAATAATAAGCCCAAACTGGAAGTATAAATGAAGTTAAAATACAATTAAATAATGATGTTTCTCAAATCTACTTAATAATGCATTACAATTTTTGAGATATTACTGCAAGAAAAAGTGTTTTACTAAATATAGATTAAGTCTCTTTTATTTATATAAATTTTAACATTAGAATTTAAAAAATCACCTGTTAAATATATTTAGAATTACAATATTTAATATTTAAAATTTTTTTATTTTAAAAATTGAAGAAAATTAACATACATATCATACTTTTTAATATATTTGGTATTATTAATTTAGAAAATCAATCATTCTTATTAATTATCATTTCACTCTCTGTTAATATTAACATAAGAGTTATGGTTGTGTTATTGAATATCTTAATATTTGAATAATAGTGTTATTTAATAGGTAGGTTTAGTTTGATAATTGATAAAAAAAATTAAATTAGATTAAATAAAAAATATAAATTAGACATATCTTGATTTGATACTTAATTTAGATTAGATTAGTTGATAAATTTATAAGATTATATGTATTATAAAATAATATTTGTTGTTAAATAAAAATAATTAATAATATTATTTTATTAATATATATATATATATATATAATTTTTTTTTATAAATTAATTTCACAAATACTAATTCTAAGAATATACTATAATAAATTTTTAATAATCATTTATTTATAATCATTTATTTCAAGAAGATTAATTATTATTTTAGATAAATAAATTACTAAAATATAATAATAATAACCAACACTAAATTCTTAACTCTTATTTTTAAATTAAATAATTTTTTTATAATTTATATATTAATTTTTTAAATACAAATTATTTTTTTTAATAATTTAAAATTTAAATTATATATGTATTATTTAATATTTTTAAATAATTATTTAATATAAACACATTTTTTAAATTATCATTTAGAGCAAAATTAATGTAATTTAAATAATAATAATAATAATAATAATAAATAAATAAAGAAAGAAAACAAATTACACTATACATAAATATTTGTATTAAAATTGTATGAATAAATTAAAATATAATAAAAATTATAATTAAGTAAAATAACAGTTAGTAAGAATAATGTTGATATGTACATTTTTTTGTAAATTTGACAAATATAATAAAAAATGCATTTTTATTTATTAAAAATAATATATTATATTTATCATCCATAAAATTTAGAGAAATCAGATGAAATATATAAAAGTTAGGAAATATATAAACGGGAACAAAAATCAATTAAAAAAACACAAGACAATAAATTTAAAATGGAAGAAAATTATATTTTAAATATAAATAATAATTTTTGTTCAGAAGTCATTGTTACACTCATATATAATAAAAATAATGATTTATTTAATAAATTTAAAACTTGTTTCTTTTAATTTTAAACTAAATAACTGATCTGAAAAAGAATTTATTGGGGAAGAAATGATTCCCAGATGGTGGTAAGGTAACCCTATGATTGGAGAAAAATAAATTAAGCAAAATGAAAAACAATATTCATTCATTCAGCCATTCCCAAATTGGTGGGCGCTGTAGGCATTCGAGATTGAGGAGTCAAGGGAATTTAGAAGAAAAACGAAAGGAAGAAGGGATTTGTATATTTAAGAGAGAAAAACCAAACGAAACCTTAGCCCTGACCCTGAGTGAGACTAGTAAAAAGTGTGTGAGGGAGTTAGTGAGAGAGAGAGAGAGGGGAATCGGGGAAGGGCTTCGTGGATTTTTCATCCTATTTCTCAGTCTTAGTCTTCTTCTTCTTCGTTCTTGTTCATATAGTAATTTCCTTTCTCATAAAACCCTAGGTTCGATGCTGCTCTGACAAAACAAATAGATCGGATAACCCTAACCAACCACGCCACAACCTGCAATGGCTGCCGAGTTAGGGCAACAGACGGTGGAGCTCTCCACGCTCGTCACACGTGCCGCGCACGATTCCTACTCCTCTCTCAAAGAACTCGTCGATAAATGTAGGTCATCTGAATTATCCGACACCGACAAGAAGATTAGCATACTCAAATTCCTCAGCAAGACTCAGCAGCGCATGATCCGACTCAATGTCCTCTCCAAGTGGTGCCAGCAGGTAATTCGAAATTTCTCTCACTACCCTTCTTTAATTCCATTCTCATCTTATTTTCCTCGAATTTGCTTTATTCTTTTTAATCGATTGTTTTATTTAACTTTTTTCAGGTTCCTTTGATACAGCACTGTCAGCAACTGGCTTCCACTGTTTCCAATCATGACATGTGTTTCACACAGGCTGCGGATTCCTTATTCTTCATGCATGAGGGGCTTCAGCAGGCACGAGCTCCCGTTTACGATGTTCCGTCCGCAATTGATATTCTTCTCACTGGAAGTTACCAGCGCTTGCCGAAATGTGTAGAGGATGTGGGGACTCAGTATGCTTTGACCGAGGATCAGCAGAAACCTGCTTTGAAGAAATTGGACACGCTAGTTCGATCCAAATTGCTTCAGGTCACGATTCCCAAAGAGTTTTCTGATATTAAGATTTCTGATGGTACCGCAATGCTTAGGGTGGATGGGGAGTTTAAGGTTTTGATAACGCTTGGGTACAGAGGACATTTGTCTTTGTGGAGGATATTGCATTTGGAGCTGCTTGTTGGGGAGAAAAATAAGCCTGTGAAGTTGGAGGAAATGAGACGACACTTGCTTGGAGATGATTTGGAGAGGCGAATGGCAGCGGCAGAGAATCCATTTTCCGTGTTGTACTCAGTTCTTCATGAGCTTTGTGTTGCACTTGTCATGGACACGGTGATAAGGCAAGTGCAGCTTCTTAGACAGGGGAGGTGGAAGGATGCTATTCGGTTTGAGCTCATATCTGAGGGTCATGGAGCGAGTTCTAGTTCTGTGCAGAACCCAGATGGGGAATCTGATTTATCTTCCCTGCGAACTCCTGGGTTGAAAATTGTGTACTGGTTGGATTTTGATAAGAATGCTAGTGTGTCCGAATCGGGTACATGCCCATTTATTAAAATTGAACCTGGGTCAGATCTTCAGATAAAGTGTCTCCACAGCAGCTTTGTCATAGATCCTTCGACAGGCAAAGAGGCAGAGTTTGTTTTGGAACAGAGTTGTATTGATGTTGAGAGGTTGCTGTTGAGAGCTATTTGTTGCAACAGATATACTCGCCTGCTCGAAATTAAAAGAGAACTGGTGAAAAATGTTCAGGTCTGTCGAACTGCAGACGATGTTGTGCTCCAGTCCCGAATTGGTGAATCTGATATTGAATATAAGCAGGTTGGTTTGCATATATTGGGAAACATGTTCTCTTTTTGGGAGTTTGGAGGTGCCAATTTGGTGTTTTGTATTGAACTTTAGTAGGTTTTATAAGGATTAAATTTGGATGATTATTTTGGGGTTATGCTTTGTGTGCTTGTTTGGTGTCAGTCCTTTCAGGGTTTGACTTTGCTAATTATGCTTTAACAGTGGATAATTATGCTTCATGTAGATTAAGATAAGTTCTAGCCAAAATCATATAAATCTTAATTTGCATTATCTATCAAAGACTATTATTGCTGAGATTCCACATCCTCTTTAGATATGACAAATGTATTCCTTATAAGGCTTGAGTAGTCCTCAACTCCAAAAAATTGGCTTGTAAGGAGAGAATTGCCAAAGCCTTATAAGGACTACATTGGTCTCATCTTTAGTCAATAAGTGATCTCAAGACCCGAACCCCCCATGCTGATATGCACATGTTTTCCGGTGAAAGCTATTCACCTTTGCGTCATACAAACTATACCTTCTTATGGACCTCATGCATTTAATCTTATGCCCTACCTTCTTCCACACATTATAACACCGGGTCTTAAATCTTAGATCTGCTTTTGTCTGTAGAAGGATGATAAGTGCCACAGCAAGGACTCTGAGGGACACGAGGTGTTGTGTGTGCGTGCCTATGGTTCTTCCTTTTTTACTCTTGGGATTAATATCAGGTACCTAACCTGCATTTTTCTAATCTAGTGCATTTTTTATCGGGGCAATTTTTCCAAATCCATTCCTCTGTGATGCTATTCAGGAATGGCCGTTTTCTTCTTCAATCTTCACAGAACATAGTGCTTTCTTCCGCCTTATTAGAATGTGAAGAAGCTTTGAATCAGGGATCTATGACTGCAGCTGAGGTCTTCATAAGCCTGAGAAGCAAAAGTATATTACACTTATTTGCATCTATTGGAAGGGTTTTAGGCCTTGAGGTATATTTACCTGTTTTCTCTCCTTTGGACTGTCTTGAAGCATATTATTTTGGTTTCAGAATTACCTTAAAGTCTAAGACCTATGGATCATGGGGCATTCTTGCAGGTATATGAGCATGGGTTCAATATAGTTAAAATACCCAAGGATGTTTCAAATGGTTCAGCTATGCTATTGATGGGATTTCCAGACTGTGGAAGCTCTTACTTCCTGCTGATGCAACTTGATAAGGATTTTAAACCCTTGTTTAAGTTGTTAGAGACTCAGCCTGACCAATCTGGAACAGATAATTTATCTGGTGGTGACCTTAATCAGGTGTTTCGGGTCAAGAAAATTGATGTAGGACAATTGCAGGTTCATGAAGATGAAATGAATTTAAGCCTGGTTGACTGGGGAAAATTACATTCCATTCTGCCCAGCGCTGTTTGTCCAAATCAAACATCTGGACATGAGTTCTTTTCAGATATTAGCCTTGAGAAATCCATACAGACCGCAAGGGGTCATCCATCAGGCTTTTCATCACTTGTTGATGAGGTTTTTGGACTTGAGAAAGGGTCTTCAGTGCCTCCATTATCTGTTCAAAATCTTCCTTCTTCCGGGAATTCATCCCTTCCTTCTCAATATGGTTCTATCCCCTTGAATATTCATGGTTTAAAGGCTGGAAGCCTTTCGCCTAAGTGGGAAGGAGGAATGCAGATGGCACAGGCTAATAATCTAACAAAAGCTTCTGGTGCTACTAACCACTATAGTGGTTCCTTGTTTTCATCCGGCAGTGTGAAGGGCCCAGTTCAGTCCAGTTCCCTTGGCTCCATACCAACTGGACAAGTAAGGAACACTGCTGGGAAAAAGCTGTCTGCTTCCAAGTCTGAACAGGATTTAGCGTCTCTGAAATCTCCACATTCAGTTGACATTAGTTCCTCTGCTACAATGGATGAAGAGCAGCTAAGAGTGTTGACTGACAACTCTAATGATGCTTTATCAGGAAGTCGATCATCTCGACTATTATCTCCTCCACGACCAACTGGCTCTCGAATGTCCATACCTAATTCCAGACCTAATGGACCTCAAGTTGAATCATTTAAGGCTGCCGGATGTAGTTCATCTGCTGCAACTCCCGTATGTAAGATACTTCCTTTGCATCTTCATCTTTTTCATGTAGAGTTTATCCACACTGTTATATATTTAATCTTGAATTATGCAATGTGACTGGAAATATGAATGTTTGCAGCCCAAACACTAGAATCCACAGTTAGTTATAGCACAGGTGAAGAAGATTTTACCTCCAAAAGTGATAAGAAATCCAGAAAACGAACAGCTTTAGATATGTTGACCCTGATTCCATCTCTTCAAGGTGTTGAAAACAACCAAGGAATCTGCAAGAGAAGAAAAGTTTCAAATTCATCTGGGTGTCAACTGTCTTTGCCACAGGGTGCCATGTCCACTGAAATAATACCCAAAACCAATGGATACAGTTATGGAAGTTTAATTGCTGAAGTGAATAAGGGGACTGTTCCGTCCAGCATTTACATTGCTGCTCTTCTTCATGTGGTCAGGCATTGTTCACTTTGCATTAAGCATGCTAGACTAACCAGCCAGATGGATGCATTAGACATCTCATATGTTGAAGAAGTGGGTTTGAGAAGTGGATCATCTAACATTTGGTTTCGACTTCCTCTTGCTAGAGGTGACTCATGGCAACATATATGTTTGCGACTTGGAAGACCTGGTTGCATGTATTGGGATGTTAAAATAAATGATCAACACTTCAGGGATTTATGGGAGCTTCAGAAAGGGAGCAATAATACACCATGGGGTTCAGGTGTTAGAATTGCTAATACATCTGACATAGATTCACATATACATTATGATCCAGATGGTGTTGTTTTGAGTTATCAATCTGTGGAGGTAGATAGTATAAAGAAATTAGTGGCTGATATCCAGAGGCTTGCCAATGCAAGAACGTTTGCCCTTGGCATGAGGAAATTGCTTGGCGTGAGAGCCGAGGAGAAGTCAGATGAGCTTGTTACAAGTACTGACACCAAAACACCAAGTGCCAAGGTTGTGTCAGATACCGCAGACAAACTGTCTGAGCAGATGAGAAGGGCATTTAGAATTGAGGCAGTAGGATTGATGAGCTTGTGGTTTAGCTTTGGTTCAAGTGTCCTTGCTCGTTTTGTTGTTGAATGGGAATCTGGTAAAGAGGGTTGCACAATGCATGTATCTCCGGATCAACTTTGGCCTCATACCAAGGTTTGCTAATTCCTCTTCAACTGATTGCTGCTATCCATTTCTTATTTTTTTTCTTCTATTGTGTTCATTTTGGCATCAGTAATAGACTTGTGTTTTTCTGTTCTGATTCAAAATTTTGGTAATTATGTGAAATTAAAACAATATATGCATGCCAAATTATTCTGTCATGATTGTTGGCTTTTATCTGTTTTCACTATGTTTGTTGTTTACTTCATTGTTCTTGGGCTTTCTCCCCTTTCATGAGACAATATAGGTGGTCTATTTCGTATTTACTCTGATTATTAAAGCTGCCTTTTGGGTGAAATTACTGAGGGACATCTTTTGGTTGATTCAGCTGACTATGCAATATAAATACAAAAATGCATTGCATTAGTTTATTGTTATGGTTATTTCTGCTGATGTATGACGGATAATGCTTGATGCCATTTTTTCCCTTTGATATTTCGGTGGTGATAAGGAATCAATTCCTTAATATTGTCTCATGTATAGATGTATCTAGTATTTTTCCCTTGATATATTCCCAAGATAAATTCCTGGTCCTATATAGTTATTAGATTCTTGTATTTTTGTGCAGTTTCTGGAAGATTTCATAAATGGAGCTGAAGTTTCATCACTTTTGGATTGCATTCGACTGACTGCAGGGCCATTGCATGCTCTGGCAGCTGCAACCAGGCCAGCTAGAGCTGGTCCTGTTCCTGGGGTTGCAGCTGCCCTATCTTCTATCCCTAAACAGTCTGGTGGTTATATATCGTCACAGGGACTTCTGCTTGGGAATTCAACAACTAATGTTAGTCAGCCTGCATCTGGTCCTGGGGCAAACACCGTCATGACTACTGCTAATGGTCTCACTAACCAGACCCTTTCGATGTTAGCTGCTGCTGGGCGTGGTGCCCAGGGCATTGTTCCTAGTTCACTTTTGCCCATTGATGTCTCTGTTGTGCTCCGCGGTCCATATTGGATACGAATCATGTACAGGAAACAGTTTGCAGTTGACATGCGTTGCTTTGCAGGAGATCAGGTTTGGTTACAGCCTGCAACACCTCCTAAAGAGGGTCGTCTTTCAGGAGGGTCATTGCCATGTCCCCAGTTTCGGCCTTTTATCATGGAACATGTTGCCCAAGAATTGAATGGATTGGATCCTAGTTTCACTGGACAACAGGCAGGTGGACTGGCAAATTCAAATAATCCGAACCCTGGTTCAGGATCCCAGATGATAGCTGCAAATGGAAATAGAATAAACCTGCCAATTTCGGCTGCAATGTCTAGGACAGGAAATCAAGTAGCTAGTTTAAACCGTGTGGGAAATGCCTTAGCAGGCTCTTCAAACTTAGCTTTGATGACATCACCTGTTTCTCTACGGAGGCCACCTGGAGCGGTTGTCCCAGCACATGTCAGAGGTGAGCTGAACACAGCTATTATTGGTCTTGGTGATGATGGTGGATATGGAGGTGGTTGGGTTCCTCTCGTTGCTCTTAAGAAGGTTTTGAGAGGCATTCTCAAGTATCTTGGAGTGTTGTGGCTTTTTGCCCAGTTACCTGATCTTTTGAAAGAGATATTGGGATCTATTTTGAAGGAAAATGAAGGTGCACTTTTGAATTTGGACCCTGAGCAGCCTGCCTTGCGCTTTTTTGTTGGGTAAGTATCTTATTCCCCCCTTCCTCTGTTACCCCAATTCTTTCATATTTAGAATTTTTTTATTTAAATACTTCTCAGATATATTTGTATTCCTTCTTGATACAAGGACTTTTGCTATATTTACCCTTCCTGCTTAAAGGGGAGTAATTGCAGTTGTGATATTGTGGAATTGGTGCTTGATTGTATTCCTCCTTTTCATTTTCAACATGTTCCTTGCTTCTCTGATTGTTTTGTTGCCTTGGGTGACCTAGCCTGGTAAGTTATTGCCACAATAATTTCCAATTTTTCCGGTCACCTCTGCTCTGCCTAAGTTTTGGCCGCCTAAATGGCCACATCAAGGATGATGGTGGTTGGTAGTTTAGTCTCATTGAGTAATGATATATGACCAGATTAGAGGTTCAATGTAAACTTCATTTTTCGAGCTAGTTTTTGTAGGTCCAATTAAGCCTAAATCTATATTTTAAAAAATGACTAAGTTGTTACACATTCAATATTACAAGAGTAAGAAATCAAATTAGAGCCATGTGATGGAAAAGCAGTGTGACAGGGGGGACTTATTTGCTTATACACTATAAATTACAGTGTAATGTGGCACTTGGAACTAAAGTCATACATGGTGAAACTAGGACAAAAATTGTAACCACCAATCCTAAAAATGAAAACTGCTAGAGTCTTCTTCTCAGGTTCTTAAATATTTGCCATGCTTATTAAAGTTATTAGACAATAAACTGAAATCCTGTCTTTTCTGCAGAGGATACGTATTTGCTGTTAGTGTCCACAGAGTTCAGCTTCTACTTCAGGTATTAAGTGTAAAACGCTTTCACCAACAACAACAGCAGCAACAACAGCCAAATTCAAATCCTGCACCAGAGGAATTAAGTCAATCTGAAATAAGTGAAATATGTGACTACTTCAGCCGTCGGGTTGCATCAGAACCCTATGATGCTTCTCGTGTTGCATCATTCATAACTATGCTCACTTTACCTGTATCAGTACTGAGGGAATTCTTGAAATTAATTGCTTGGAAAAAAGGATTATCGCAGGCACAAGTGGGAGATGTTGTTTCTGCTCAAAAACCACGAATTGAGTTATGTCTTGAAAATCATTCTGGGTTGAACGTGGATGAGAACTCTGAGAGCTCATCTGCATTCAGAAGCAACATCCATTATGATCGTGTTCATAATTCTGTTGATTTTGCGCTTACTGTTGTTCTTGATTCTTCTCACATTCCACATGTCAATGCTGCTGGTGGTGCTGCATGGTTGCCTTACTGTGTTTCGGTAAGATTGAGATATTCATTTGGTGAAAGTCCTAATGTATCATTCATTGGCATGAATGGTAGCCATGGTGGTAGGGCCTGTTGGTTGCGTGTTGATGATTGGGAAAAATGCAAACAGAGGGTGGCACGAACCGTGGAGGTCAATGGGAGCTCAGCAGCAGATGTAAGTCAAGGTAGGTTGAAATTAGTTGCGGATAGTGTGCAAAGAAACCTGCATATGTGCATTCAAGGGCTGAGAGATGGTAGTGGGGTCACAGCTAGCTCTGGAGCAACGTGATTGTTTTGTTAATAGCAGCAGTCATGTCTACTATATATATATATATATATGTTGGGTTAGTGCTGTCAATATTGCATTTTAGTTTACCATGATATGAAATGGTGCTATGCTGAGTTTAAGCATGCCCCCACCATCCTAGCACGTCTCTTCTGCTCCGTAGGTTATGCAGTTCTAGTGGAGATGAGCTTTGCTGTAATGGAGAAAGTGCACAGGTGATTACAGATAATTTTGATAAAAATGAATTTTGATAGTCAAGCTTAGATTTGCAGGCACCAATTCTAGATTACTAACCAAATATATATAACGAGTATTCTACGTTTCTCAGATTATCTAGGTTGTACAATATCTTTGCTGATAGTGTAGTATCTTGGTATAACTTGGCTGGGGCGCTATTGTACAGATGACATCAAATGAATTAGTAAAAGAATTTTTTTTACGCTCCATCTTTATGGACAATGAACACTGGCAAGTTATTGAGAGACGTTGCCGCGTATTTAATTTTGACTTCTCAACCGACGTTGCTTTAATGTAATTTGCAATAATCTCATTTGCCACCTTCTTAGTTCTGTAACCTGTATCGTTGTGATCATTGAACAGCTGCAGCGACACTGTTTGAATTGATAGGTTATTTGGACCATACTAGTTTTAACTGACAATGTTTATTCTTATTTAGAAATATTAAATTTTCTTGTAAAGTTAACTTTAGTACGAGTGAAGATTCTGCCCCTTTTTAAGGATTGGGCAACCAAAATTTGAAGTAAGATTCAGTAGAATATGTATTTTTTTATCTACAAAAATTGAAGGGGTCTATCATTCTTTGGGTGAGGAAGAATAAGAAAGAGGAGATAAAAGAAATTCTTTTATTTGTAGTGTTTGAAAACGCGGAGAAAAAGAGGTATATGAGAAAAAGAAAAGAAAAAGCAATTATATTAAAAAAATGTAAACAATACAAGTTGATACAATTTTTAATGCCCTTTTATTTTTTTACTGAAAATTTAAGAAGTTCTAAGTTTTAAGGGATCTTAATATTCAATGGTTCTCTTGATTTTGTAAATTTTTATAAGTTTTAACTTTAATAAAGTGTGTATCAATAAGAACGGATCGATAAGAACGCATATTAAAATTATAGTATTTATGAACTAAATTTTCAAAATGAAACTTACATATGGTGCATTCGTTAATTTGTATGTATAGTTGAAGTAAAGCACACACGTTTGGTCTATGAGTAGTGATATTTTGACAACCACCTAAACAATCCTACTTATTAATATTATATTCATATTAAATTAAAATAAAATTAATTAAAAAAATATTATTTTATTAACAAATCAAGTTGATAAATTGTATGAAAAAACTAGGTTGTCAATGAATATTTTCCTTGGTCTATGCACCATTGTTTCATAACATTCAAGTATTTATATACTCAAAATAGTAAGTATATCTATTTAATAAATCGAGTGGGGTACTAGAGCATTTCTGTTTGATCATTACTTTATATTGCCCAGAATTTCAATCCCTACCAATGAAAAAAGGGATCAACAAATGTGATGCACCATATCGAGAAACTCTTCACTTGAATCGCAACACAACCACTTATTTTGTAATAATCCGCATATTTATCATTCATACACCAATGCACTATGCATCGTATGAATCAAGCACGACCGTGAAGGGAAGCTAGAACTGGTTCATTATTGACGACGGAGATGAATCTCCGTTCGACGAGACGAGTAAATTGTTGAGTTTTCATTCGAGTTAAAACTCCACCATGATCTTTCACTCGTCATGTTATGCTTTTCGTCAATGTGTTTTGCGATAACATTTAAAATCATAAGTTAACATGAAAACCAATTTGACCTATAGAATTTTCTTTTATGAGTCAAAATGACATTGTACTCTTATAGACAACAAATGAAAGAAATTCCACTGGTATTTCATTTGATCCCACAATCCCATTCCTCTAACCTTGATACAAGTTGAGAAAGTAAAAGGATATTCACCGTTGAAGTGAGAAAAATGTTGCTCTTAACACGGATTACCAAGTGACTTGGGTGAAGAAAATTGACCAATATCAACCAAAACTAGTACCCCCTCCCCTGATATTCTCCTATGCATCAGTGTCTACTAGCCAAAATATTATTCATCTTTTACTTGAAAGCTTGGTGTGATGATGATTTAAATGACGAAACTCATACAATCCCAGAAACACTAAACTAACAGATTTTAAAGAAGAATAGTTTCTTTAAAAGCATTACAATGTCACGGTGAAAACTTGATACCTAGTTATCATATCAAATCTACAATCTCATACACTCTCCTTAGAACTTGAAACCTCTTTGTCCTGCTTCTCCTGTTCACCAACAGCAATAGGTTTCTCAGAAGAGTCGCCTTCTGTGGAATCAGGTTCTTTCTTAAGCTCCGACTCAAATTCCTTTGCAGCCTGAAAAATTCACAAAATACAATAACCAGCAGTAAAAAGAAAAGTGCAAAACACTTAACAAGTAATAAATACACTATAACATATCTTCAACAATTAAGTCAAAGCCAGAATCCAAATCAATTTTCTAGTGTTATTTTCCTCCAACAAAGGCCTCTCCAACATCTCCTCATTTAATTTTCCCCTTCAAGTTCTTTAATTTGAGTTTGGCTTTAACACAATCCAAAACATAGTTGTGAAGATAATCATGTGGAAAGTTAACAGATATGGATATTTACAAGTAATCTAATAACGAGGTAATTGAAGCAACCAAGAACGGAGAAATGATATGTATGATTGATTGTGAATAAAGGGGAAACAATTACCTGTTGGAAGCTCTTCACAGTTTTGCCGATGCTCCGGCCAACTTCGGGCAATTTCTTTGGCCCAAAAACCAGCGCTGCCACGCCGGCAATAACGACGAGTTCGGGCACGCCCAATCCGAAAATGGCGTTGCAAGTGAGGCCTCTGTTTCTTCTTCTCCCACCCTTAACCCCCACTACCCTTACCCTTGCACTTCCTGAATTCAACAACTTCGGGTTTCCCAAACACAAAGATGAAGACGAACTCAAGCCAATTGCGGGTGCGGATTTCGGGATTGAACTCGAAAACGAAACGCAGCTCATCATCCTCATCTCCATCTCCTCTCTCTCTCCCTCTGCCTCGTCTCTGTGGCTAAGATATTTTAGATATTTTCGAAATTAGATAATAACCTAAGACCGTTCAGGTGTTAACCCGAACCATGAAAAAAAAAAAAAACATTGACCACATGAAAATGCAAACACACAATAAAAACAACCTCAATCGATCACATGTGAAATTTTATTTACAATAATCTTCTTCTTCTTTTTTTCCCTTTTTATTATGTCTTGCTTGTTACCTATGCATATCTACGTAATTATCAATGAATTAAGTGACCAACCTCAACTAAATATTTTGGGGCAGCTTTATAATAATACCAAAAAAAAAAACTCGAGAGAGAATTTACAAATTTATTTTTTTGTGTTTCATGGAGTTTAAAAACTATGGACTAAATGCTTTTTAGTTTGGACTATTTTTTTTTCTTTCCACTAAAATTTGTTTTCTAGTCTTTCATTTTCTAAACTAAGATTATTAACGTGCTTTCAAAATAATAATTGTTTTCAATTTTATGACATTTTTTGAATAATTTTGTATTCATTTCAAATTTTAAAAAAAATGTTCATTATATTCACGTACGTAAAAATTATAAAACTCTACCAATATACTAATAAAAATGCCATAAACACGATGAAAATGGCATGAAAATAAACCACTAAAGCAATTGAAAATTTTAACTTAGAAACATTCATATAATGAATAAATTATTTATCTAAAAAAATTCGAAGAGTACACATATTTGGACAAATGAATTACAAGCTCAAGCAATTTAAGTAAGGAGTCTTCTTTTGGTATGAATTAGCTGAAAATTTATATAAGGTTTAGAGGCCATCAAGTTTCTCATCCTTTATCATGTGTAAAAGGAAGTGATTATACAATTCATATTATTATGGTCACTGTTATTTTTTATATAACACAACTCATTTATTTTTTTCAATTATACAATTTTATTGTTCTTATAAGAAATAAATTATTTAGATAATATAAACTGAAACAAAGTGTTGGCGATTATGAGAGAAATCGAAAAAAATATATTATTTGGACACAAATCAAACATCACACCATTTTATTCTATCTTTTTTATTTTTATATGATTTAGAACTTCAACTTATACTACGTTTCTTCGTTGCGAGTGGAATGTATGAGACATTAACAACGCAATTTAAAGATTTTCAAAAAGGGGTGCATAAGCATAACTAACAAGTTCCATTGCAGAGAATAGACACCAATTTATTATCGAATTGAAAGCAAATAATATAATATCCAATTTGGATAAGGCGAAGTCTACCAACACTTGTTTTACTCTCTTGTCACTATCATATCTATCTAACTACTATATGTTACATATCAGCCATGTATTAAGATTTTAAGGGGTCCACACAAAAATGAAAAATAAGAGTATTCAGCAGAACATGCTCAGTATGATTCACATGCATCAAATTGATTTACAACAAGTCAACAAGAACTTACTATTACTTACAACTATCAGAAACAAGAGTTTTAAAACAATATCCTCATGAAAGCATAATGTAAATTAGCTACTATATATGTTATTGCTCTCCACTAGACGGAGGTCCACGTGAATCTGCACCACCACGAATCCGCTTCTGAAGATGTTCCAAGCTAGCTACTCTATGCAGGGAAGTTGCTCCCCCAGTTTTGTTCCCCCTTACCACTGCTGCAACGTTATGTTGCACAGTTTTAATTGAAGAAATGCCTCCCAACCCAATGTTGGAAGTGGCTTGACAAAGATGATGATTTGGGTCTTCTTGCACAGGAACAGCAGCATCAGCTGATGTCTCAGAAGGACTTTCATCAAAAAATGGTATTTCCATTAATGACATCTCAGTCATGACATGAAACATTGGGTTCAACCCAGTAATCCTTTTCACTGTCTCTTCAGCCATCTTCACCTAAAATGAAACAACATGGAAGGAAATGATCATTGTCAATACTCATAAACCAATATTTGTACTGTTTTCTTTTCACCTAGTTTCTCCTCTAAAAAAAGTTGAGATCCTGGTTGGGCTCCTATCCTTATCTTATCTAGACACCAAAAAAAAGGACAAATTATTGCATGGTATGAGACCATCATAGTCCCAACAACATGATACCTAGTCCATGTTGTAGCTAATTCAAAAATATCATAAACTATTTATTATTTTCTCTAATTAGGAAACTTATTAGAAACAACATGTAGGTCTCCTGTGTAACAGGTTTTACTTAAGGGCTGGTATATACTTAAAGCAAGGATTTACCTTAGCTCTCAATGTTTCAACATCAGCTTGCAAAACTCTGTTGTCAACTGCAGCATTATTGTATTTCTGGCTCACATCCGTTAAGCGCTTTAACAAAGAAGAATTTTCGCCTCTTAATTGGGAGACCTAGGATAGAATATAAGGTCAGAAAATATATAACTCTGAGGGAATTATGATGGAGACAGGAAAAAGAAATATGCACACCTGTGTCTCTAGCTCGCTTAAATGAGCCTGCTTTCTTCTTCTTGAACGTCTGGCAGACTCCCTATTAGAAAGCATCCTAAAAGACAAATTTGTTAGACTTTAAATTAGGTAGAACTTGTACCTGAATTAAGCAAAGTTTATGTCTTCCAATAGAGAAACATAAACAAAGAATCTGTTCAGGAAGAAAGAATAAAGTTCATATTCATTAAGCTCTACCATTAATCGCTTTAAAGTAATTTTAATACTTGTGCAACCTTTCTTCGTAACAGCACAAATGAACTTGCATGAGTTAGTCTATCTGAACTGAACTGAAAGTCCATGTAACTACATCAAAAGTTTGTGCATAATTTATAAAAATAATAGTGCAAGTCACACATTATTTCACTTCAAAGATCTAATATGATACTGGAAGTTTGTTGTCAGTCAGGCCAAACATTTGGTCTATATATCAGGACATGATAGTATAGTCAACTCCTTGAGACCAAAAGCATTAATGTTTTCTGTGCTAAATATAGCCATTTCTGAGAATATAAAAAATATAGAAAGTCATGCATTTTAAAGATCTAATATGATACTGGAAGCAGCTAGTCTGACAGGCCAACATTTGATCTATTTATCAGGACATGATATTGCAATCAACTCCTTCAGACCTGAAGCATTAACGATTTCTATGCTAAACATAGTCAAATCTGAGACTATTTTTACCTCCTTACTCGTTTTGCATCAGTAGGGTTCTTGTTGTCAGTCATATTAATCTCTTCCTCCGCTTCCTCATCATCCGATTGTTCTCTTGATGATCCACTTATTGTTGGCCTTATTGCAACAGCAGGTTTCTTTTGCAGGGAGGGTGAGGAAGGTATCCCGAATGGTGCTTTGACATCTTTATTTTGTAATTGAGAGGGATCATTTCCCAAAGGACCAGAGCCTACAGAGGAAATAAAAAGATGTAAAACTTTTAGTTCAGCATGTGTTGAATTTGACCATATTAGGAGAGAAAAAACTTAACGTCTAAAGCATTCTCAATCAGACAAAACTGTACAACAATATTTTTCTTCACCCTACTCATGCAACTTTTCTAGTAGCCAATACTTCATTTTACATTCCACATTCACCCTCACTCTAAGCTTTGAGCCTGTATTATCATAACACCTTAAAATGTGACCTACTTCGTTCAATGGAGCTTCTATGTGTTTCATTACAAATGAAAAAAGTTCATCAACACATCCAAAATAATATATTAATTCAAACCTGTTAAGGTAGCCTGCGATTCGACTTCAGAAAGATTAGATGTCTGGGATCCACTGTCAGGGAAAGTGACCGGATTTTGAGATTTTAACAGAGATCCCTATTGCCAGGAGCAAACGAAAACATTAGATACTGGTTCAAATTCCAATGAGAAAGAGGTGACAGAAATGGGGGACTGATAACTTAATATATAAACAAGGAAAACACTAGAAGAATTAGATTGAGAAAATATAAGGTTGGTGAAGTGCAGGCATTACATAAATGAAACTACTTCAATGTTTCAGAGCCTTTGGTAAATATGAAATTAATGCAACAATTCAATTTGGGAGAAAGAATGGTTAATTAGTGAAGTTAACAACAAGTCCACGACTATCAATTTTAACTGTGTTTCATCAAAACCTCCTAACAGAATTGATGGTGTGTGCACGAATCATGCCAAGCTTGGGTGTTGGAAATTTTCTCCATAATCAACCACATTTATGGATGCCAAGCTTTGTAAAGGTGCTGAAAATTTTCTCCATAATCATACAGATTTATAGAAGCTTTGTTAGATCATATTTTCTTTATATCACCTATTTTCCGTGTTACCTAAAATATAATATTACATGAAAAATATACAAGTAATTATATACGCTACAGATAGATGAACATTAAATGAAAATTTAACGAAACTAGTTTAACATTGATGTTTATATCAAAGTCTATCAATATTTAAATTACATGGTAGAAATACAAGTTATTTAATTAGTATTTTCGACAATACGCATAGAAGGTATATATTATATGACTAATTAAAATGTTTTATCATCAATATAAATAAATAATTTTTCTGAGTGGTCCTGTAATTCAGAAACAATATGTCACTGAGAATTTCATATATAAGGAGACAAATTATACCAAAAAAACACATGAATTGTTGTAAATATATTTTGTACGGGTATTTTTTTTTACAAAACTTTTAGAAAAAAAATGAAGGTAAAAATGCTTACATTTTTATACCTTATCCTAGTTTCAGCACTTTTTACAATCATTGTTATGAATCAAATGTGTTTTCGTTGTCCACTTTTTATGAACCCCCTTATAACCAAGCTATCAAGCATGATGCTGAAAAATTGCCATGGATAAAGATATTGCAGACAAATTTCAAGAATGCACTCGCAAGAGACACCGCAAATGGTAGATGTTTATACAAGTTTCGAGAATCTTACTTCACTGAATGATGCAAAGATAAGTTTTTTTTCATAACTATTCATAGGTAAAACATAAACAAATAAAAACAAGTTCTTCCAAACCAAAAAACTGAAAAAATAAAACAACATTAACAGGCATACCCGAGTCAAAGCGACAGCAGCACAGGCGAGGTTAAGCTTGGTCTTAAGAATAGCTTGGTAATCCTGGGAATCAACATTTAGAGTTGCAGGGATGTTGGGATCCTTTTTAGGTTTAACATCAGAAGAAGAAGATGAAGTAGGAGAAGCTGCTTCCTGCAGAAACTGCTGAAAAGCCCACTCCGATTCACTGCGATTCATCTTTGACTCTGACTTGCATGATTCCTTCCTCGCTGCCACCCAAAATTGCTCCGATATTTCATCCACTGACAACACCCTTTCCATTCTCCCAACTCACCTTCAAAATCCAATTATCATATCATTGAATCAATGGTCATTTCATATCACAACACCCTCTTCTTCTTCTTCTTCTTCTTCTTTTTGTCTTTGTTTAATGGTAGTTTTTGGTGCAGTTTTCCACTGGGTTTACAATTGAATAATAGAATAAAATGAAATTGTGATGTGGCATGCCAACCTCATCCATTTTGGTTGGTTGGTCTTCAACTCTGCATCCTAATCCAATCCATATCTCCTCCCTCCTTTTCAACGCCCACCATCCTTCCTTTTCACTCAACCAACTTGTTCCTAGTTTCTACTTTTGGAACCAATCTATATATCTCCTCACTTATTTTAAATTACTATTTTTATTTTTTTTTAGTTGTGTTAGAATGAAAGTAACGTTCTAGCTATAATGTTGTTGAAATTTTGAATTTTAAAAATATAGTAATATAATTCAGAACAAGTGTTTTGTTGGAAAAAAAAGAAGGGAAGGACTATTTCTTGTTTATTATTATTATTAGATGCAGTTTGGTGAGGTGTGAGTGAGTCACTGCGGATAGACACGACATGACTGTCTGTCTTATTCGGACAATCTTAGTTGGATTCCCTGTCCCTTCTCCTTCTCTTTCCTTCCTTCTCACTTTTTCTAAATATATTTAAACCATTCAATTTATCAAATAAATAAATAAAAACATATTTTTTTTAGCTATTTATTTCACTAACTTTTATTTTCAGCTACAGTTTTTTTTTTAACCTAAATCACAATTTGTAAATACAGATTTACTTCTTCTTTTTTTATCATATTCTATTCGTAATATTTTATTTAATTTTATTAAAGCCTCTTTTAATATTGGACTTAGGATTAAAATCATTTTTGCAAAATCATTTTCTTTATCATTTACATTATGTCAATATCATCAATTAACATTAACACATGACAGATAAAGAAATCACACAACTATGTTGATATTTAATTCACTGAGTTCAAACTTAGGTGACATAGCAAAACTTCTATAGTTATAAGACCAAAACTACGATACCCACTTTTCTCTTAAAATATTTTTTCATGACCATGTGCATTAGTTAAAAAATTATGTTTATTTATATTATGAATTATTTTTTATTTTCCTGATTTTTTTTAAAAATTGGTATTAATTATTTCTTAATAACTTTGGTTAATTTATTATAAAAAAATGTCAGCAGGTCTTTAGTAATTCAACACTTTTTTCATTTTTTGTTTATACAAACTATGATTTGATTTTAAGACCGCACTAATTGCTATATGGAAATAATTTTATTCTAGTTTTTAAATTCTATTGAGAGCCATGTAGAAAGAGAATTTTATTTTATTTATTTTATCAAAAATGCTTTTTGAATAATACAGATCTCGTTGGACAAGAAATCAGATATGGCCCGTGGTTACCATTTCGTTGGGCCCAACGTAGCTGTCTTCATTTGGGCCTCGCTTTGAATCTACTACGAAATCATGCTCTGATTAAGAAATTGTAGTATACCCCGCTGAAATTGCTAATCACACCTCTTTTTGTTTATTTCAATTTTCAAATCATAACGTGTTTTTCACATCAAGACACTAATAAAAGTTGAAAGAAGTGCTTAAACTTGAAAGAAGTATGATTGATAGGTGAACTCAAAAGTGGAAGGTACTGCTTTGTTTGTTTGTTTGATGTTTTAGATAAGAGAAAAAGAAGGAAGGTGCACCATACATAAATACATAAACTCAAATGAAGAATAAAAACAGAAAAAGGAGCTTGCAAGTTGCAACACAAGTCCAAAAACACGGTTTTAGTGTTGATTTCTCTATGCTTTCGCGTTCTGTTTTCTTCTTCAGTGACCTGGAAAGTAAGTACCTGCACTGCAACAACACATGTATGCATGTCCCTTGAACACGTTCTAAACTCAACTTTTCAAATTTCAATTTCAATCGAGCATACTTACATGATTAATAAGCTTTTTATATAGATATTTTAAAAAATAAAACTTTTTTTAAACTTATATAAAAAATAAATTTAATTTGGCAGATTTATTTATTTATTTATTTATTTATTCTTAAATGAATATTTATGAGCGTTTTATTTAAATAGAACTTTTTGTCAGTTTTGTAGTTGTAAATAATATTAAAAAAAAACAGAATGATGAAACATCAACATTAGAAAACAAGTCTTAAATTAGTAACCGTTGATAGTTACAAAACAAGTCTTAAATTAATAACCGTTGATAGTTTTAATTTTTTACATAAATAATGTTACTTCCTTCTTTCAATTTGACCACTCCTTTTATTTTATTTTTTCTATATCTTACAAAATTATAATAATACATGTTAATTCAGTTAATCCTTTTTATATGTTGAAACATTTATAATTTTTAAATATTCTAAACCCAAAAATATTATCAATGAGATAGTTTTAAAATAATATATGATGAAAATTAATATATACGTTCACACCTATATATATATATATATATATATATATATATATATATATATATATATATATATATATATATATATATATATATATATATATATATACTAGAATAATGATCAGTTTAAGACTTAATTTGTTTAGAGTATTATTACTGAACGTTTAATAATTTAGTTTTGCATTTAACATACAGGAAAAAAAACACTTCTAAATTACTGTGCAAATAATTTGTAGAAATAAAAATATTTGAGGCATTTTTTTCTTATTATTAACTAAAATGTATTATTTTTTTCTGCTAAATAACATTATAGATCAAGAAAAAAAATGAGAAATATAAGCTACACAATTTATTAATTTTATTGAATTTTAGGCAATGGTATAATATAAATGTATATTATCATAGTAATGCAAAGTGTTTTTATTGTTTTATTTAAGTGAAATATTTCTTGTTTTTAAATGTCAATATTTCATCAAACTATTCAGTATAACTATTATTTAGTATTATTGTACATGATAAGTGTTATTTGTATAAAAACTATAATATTAAATATATAAATAATACTATAATTATGTTATATTTATAAATAAATAAGCATGTTCGAATGTATATTTGTTTCTATTTATTACAAATTATTTGAGTTATAATGTAAGATTCTTGTAGACTTTTCATCTCTACTTAGAATAATCACTTTATCTTTTATTTAACATATAAAATATTAATGAATGTCATATATATATTAATAATAAATTATGATTATTTATAATTTCAAAGGAACCAAATAATTTTTTTTTTTACTAAACTAAAATCAAAATCACTTATCTTTACCTGACTAAAAACATGTAAATTTCAGTAGAAATGAATCTCTATAAATATTTATTTAAAACAATACATTAAATGTTATTAATGCTCCAATTTATAATAAATAAATATAATTTGATTATTGTTTAATTAATTCATTTAATATTTTAAATATGTTTTTTATGTTTATTTAAATAATTGAAGTTTAAAAAGCAAATTACTTCTTTTATTTAACTATCACTTTTAAACTTCAAAATAGTATTAAGTATGTATTTGTTAATTATACTTCTATTTTTAATATAATTTTTAATTAATTTACATATATGTATTCATTATAATAAGTATAATAGTACTAATAATTTTCTATAAGATAACTTTAATCTACATCTAAAAAGAAAAAGAGGGAGTATATTTTTATGATGAATCTAAAAAATATACTTAAATCTAAATGCATGAAAGTGCTAAATGTATAAAAGTACAGTATACTTTATTGATAAGAATGATACTTTTTGTATTACGCATTTAATACTTTTTATAAATGCTTTCATTTTATTCTTTAACGGATGCACTAATTTTTATTAAAAAAGAGTTACGTGTTTTAATTAAACTTTTAATGAAACAACTATTAATTTATTTCTTCCTACAAGCATATTTTTTAAACACATTTATACAAAATGAATTTACCATGATGAAAAATCCATCGATGGAAATACTTGTTTTTATTAATTATCAAATAAAGGTGCAAATAGGAAAAAAAGTTCACGAAGCAATTTTAAAAAGAAAATATTAATACATATCCGATGTTGCAAATATATATATATATTTAACAGTATTAAAAAATATAAGTGAATAATTTTTGGAATTTAATTGGAATGTTTTAATAGTATAAGCGTATACTTCTTATTTTTATGTATTATAAATGTATTAACCGTATAAATATTATTTAAAATAATTTTGATTAATCCGTATTATAAAATCTAAAATATAACAAAGGTTTGATGAGTATTTAAGTATTTTCAAGATAATTATTACAAAATTCAAATAACTTGTCATAGATATTAAGATGGTTGCAGTGCAACTATTGATAATATCCATTTATAAATATTAACTATTGCTATATTAAATGAAAATATATATTTAATATCTTAAAAAAAAAGATTTAAATGATTGTTTTTTCATGAACAAATGGAGAAAGAAAATGTAAAATTTAGTAGTGAGTTTTTTCCTTAGCCTCCAATGGATCTAATAGATGGGAAGAAATAATAAATGAGTGGCTCTGCATTCACACACAGTGGTGCTCTGTTCTATATATAGCATTCACACCCACCACACACAAACACACACATGCAATTTAAACCCACCAGCATCCTCCATTCTTCACCTTCTCCCAATCCTTTTCACTTTCAGTTCTCAGGTATTCTCTCTCCCTCTCCCAAACCCCATATCTTCCCACTCATTTCTTCAATCTTTAACTTGCAATAATGTCTTATTACTCTCTCGTGTCCATGTTCTCCTTCTCTACTTTTCTTTAATCTCTTAACTTGCCACCTATTTCGGTACTATAATTTTGCAAAATTTGTATGGGGGAGTTAATGTCTTTTACTTGCACCGTTTAATTATTTTATTGCTTTTTATAATGTTGTTCCATTCCATGTGCCCTTGTGTGGGGTATGTGGTTCTTCTAATATCTGTCGGTTGGTTTTCATCTCCCAAGGTTCTCTATTGTTTCTCCGTCTGGTTCTTCCTTAAAAACAACAACTTGCATCATGAAAATGTTGTTTCTGGTCAGTTTGATGCCTTGATGACTAATTCATTCATGTGGGGTGCAGCATGGGAAGTTCCGGAACAACCGATTATGGAGCGTACACTTACCAAAACCTTGAGAGGGAACCTTACTGGCCCTCTGAAAAGCTCAGAATTTCCATTACTGGGGCTGGAGGTTTCATTGCCTCACACATTGCACGCCGCCTCAAGACTGAGGGACATTACATCATTGCTTCTGATTGGAAGAAAAATGAGCACATGACTGAAGACATGTTCTGCCATGAGTTCCACCTTGTTGATCTTAGGGTCATGGATAACTGCTTGACAGTTACCAATGGCGTGGATCACGTTTTCAATCTTGCTGCTGATATGGGTGGCATGGGTTTCATCCAGTCAAATCACTCAGTCATTATGTACAACAACACCATGATTAGCTTCAACATGATTGAGGCTGCCAGGATCAATGGTGTTAAGAGGTCATTGAATTAGGACTAACATGAGTTGCCGTCACTTTCAATTGCATAATAGTTTTTATCTGTCATAATTAAAGGTCATTTTTTTTTGTAGGTTTTTTTATGCCTCTAGTGCTTGTATCTACCCTGAATTTAAACAGTTGGAAACAAATGTGAGTTTGAAGGAGGCTGATGCCTGGCCTGCTGAGGTTTGTTGTTGACCCTTTAATTAGTTGTTCGAGTCATGCTGGTCATTCACTTGTATACTTAGGTTAGCAAGGGCATGTTTAATTTGTGACTTTTTATAGCCACAAGATGCATATGGGCTAGAGAAGCTTGCAACTGAAGAGTTATGCAAGCATTATAACAAGGACTTTGGGATTGAGTGCCGCATTGGGAGATTCCATAACATATATGGTCCTTATGGGACATGGAAAGGTATCTTCTTGATTGAGTTAGTCTTTGCAGTTGTCATATATCTATAAGTCAACAAAGTAGTTGACATTTTGTATGAAGCCCTTTTGGGTTTAAGAAAGTTTGTTGCTTTGTTGTTTGTCATACAGGTGGAAGGGAGAAGGCTCCTGCCGCATTTTGTCGGAAGGCTCTTACCTCCAAAGACCGTTTTGAGATGTGGGGAGATGGATTGCAAACAAGATCCTTCACCTTCATTGATGAGTGTGTTGAAGGTGTACTCAGGTATGCCTTGTTGATTTATATCTGAAATAAATGACATATTTCCAGGGTTTCTCATTTTGAAATTTAAATTATGGGTACATGTTTTGATGAATGCTGAAAATGAATCCAGTAGAGTGCGTGCATATGCCATTAATAAGTCATATCCATGCTTAATCACAAATGTAAATAATTGTAAAATCTCCATATTTATTATGAAATTGTTATTTCTGAAGATGTTTAAGATGAGTTTTAATTTCCAATTTTCATAAGTAGGATTTTTTGTGAAATCCATTTCCACAAATTGGGTAGAAACATTATTATCGCAATCAACATCTACTGAATTTAATGGAAGGCAGGATTGATTGAAATGGCTTTACTAAAATTAAGATTTGCTCTGTCTGGTTGTATAGTGTTTGATCAAGTCAAGCCTGTATTAGCTTCTTTTGTGTCTTCTGTTGGTTAGTTCTAATTCCTTGGTAAGATTGAACATTACAGTCCTGGTTCATTTTGTGTTTAGATTGACAAAATCAGACTTCCGGGAGCCGGTGAATATTGGAAGTGATGAAATGGTCAGCATGAATGAGATGGCTGAGATTGTTCTTAGCTTTGAGAATAAGACTATACCAATACACCACATTCCTGGCCCAGAAGGTGTTCGAGGACGTAATTCAGACAATACACTAATTAAAGAGAAACTTGGCTGGGCTCCAACTATGAAGTTGAAGGTATTATTGTTATTTTAATGGAGTGAAAATTACGTTGTTTTCATTGTATACAATTTGTTCCTAGTTCTGACTTCAGATGAAGGTTCTCAAACTGTCATTAGTCTATCACAGTTTTCTTTTAAATGTGTATAATCTGATAAATTTTCCTTATATTATCTGATAATTTTTCTTACCAATTTGATTTATCATCATCAAGAAAAGAGTAATGGATTTGAAAGTGTTCCTTTTTTACTTCACTTCACTATCTGATTTTTGTACTTGATCTTATCATGTATGGGATTAATTAAACAGGGTTGTGTGTTTTACTCATAGTAACTCGATTCTCAAATTGTAGGATGGGCTGAGAATCACATACTTCTGGATCAAAGAGCAGCTTGAGAAAGAGAAGGCAGAAGGTGTTGATTTATCAGCGTATGGATCATCCAAAGTGGTGCAGACTCAAGCCCCCGTTCAACTGGGATCCCTTAGGGCTGCAGATGGCAAAGAATAAAGCCACTAATGCTTGGATTTAGTAATAAAAATGAAGAGTTAGTTTTATGTTTATGTTCTAGAGATCACTTGGGCAGCAGATGAAACAATAGAGTGACCAATGCATTACCTAAATGTTTCAAGTGAAAGGCTGACAGATTAGCTACTGTTGAAGTTAGTTTTGAAATTTGCTAATGTATTTGAAATGGATGGGACTGTATGCTATGTATTTGAGGTTAATAACTGCTGTTTAAGGCTATGTTATTGCATTTGAAACTTTAAGTTGTGTTTTTTAAGTCTAAGTATTTGATTCACAATCATAAAAGCATCTTTTTCTGCATGAATTTCAATTGTTTAGCAAAATTTGGATTTGGGTATATTTAGTGCTTTATCTCTAATAAAAATTGAACTGATTTTGGCAATTTGTGCAATCAAAGTTGCTAATAAAAGTTTATACTCCCTGTCCCATTTATTTAGTAAAAGGGAAATTAATTTTATCATCATTATATATATTTTCTACCATTAATACCAGTAAGAATATAAATGGAAAATGGTAATTAATGTTTCATTTTAGTAGGTATGAATATGTGAAATTGGTAGTATTAAAAGGACCTACACGTGGGGAAAAGAAGTGTGTCGCGTTGGATGTTTCGTGTATGACAACTATTTGATGTGACAGACAGGATTTAGAAATATACTTAAATTTGTCTTTGTTTTTGTGATAGTAAGAATTTGAATATGAAGTTTGCTTTGGTGGAAATATGGATTATTCAATTAAAGTAAGGTGAGTGTTAGTTGAAAAGGAACATGGGGAGAGGCTTGGGCCAAGAAAAAGTGTGATTCTCGATGTGAGAGTAATGAATTGGGCAGTGGGCTTTGGGTTTTCACTGCTTGGTTTCGCGGTTCCGCAACTTTCTAACTAAAAACTAACCGTTGTTGTTTGGAATGGAAGAAAACCAAAGGCTAGCAGTAAGCATCAATAAATCCTCAGTTAATATTTATGAATAGACATGAGTATAATACTTTTATTTTTCTTTATTTCAATTCACACACCAAAAAAGGATCCTGCCCTTCAAACCAAACAAGAGAATATTATTCTCCCGTTCTCTCTTTGGACTAAATATCATGTTAATATCTTAAAACTTCAGCTTAAATCTAAAGTTATACATGAACTTTTCTTTTTAATCAAGAAAAGGTTATTGAACATCTGCGGACTTGAAGTAATATATAAATTATTTAATTTATTTGCACCCTATGCAGGACTTTTTTACCAGTTTACTACTGTCAATAATATTTTAAGTCATGTTTATAAAAAGTAAAGGTTTTTATTTAAAAACATTAAAGTGTTAAATGTCGATTACAGTTTTCTATTTTCTTATTAAAAATAAAACATAAAAGTATAACAGTAGTGGTCAATTCCATACACAGTCAATTGTTTCTTCCGTTTCGCCTTGATAATGCAGTATTTATATTAGAAGTTCAAGGTGTCATCAACAAATATAATCTTGACTTGCCTTATTTAAAATATATTGACCCAAGAAAACTACCCGGATCGGTTAAAAGTGTTGAATAAGCCAAACTAAAAAGCTTCTGTTACAAATTCTGTTTTTCTGTTATCCGTTTTCTGATATAAATAAAACTTCAATTGCATGCATGCATGCAACATACGTACTATTCAGTAACTTCGTTTTTCCTGTACTCTTTACGTTCACTCTGTTTTTCCTTTGTACGTAATATGGTATCAAGAGCTGAGTTTGTTCTATGACCTTGAAAGTGTGAAGTCAAGAAAATCTTGGAGGTTTCTTTCACGTGGTCTTGGAAGATCAAGGAGTTGTAGATCAAGAAACCTGTTGGAAAAAAACGTTTGAAGTGTGGTCAAGAAGTCTGCAAGATTTATCATGACAGGAGGTCTTGAAGGATTGATACAGGGAGGGTTGCCGGTGTTCGATGGCAAATCTTTTGGAGATTGGAAGATTAAGATGAAAGCAATATTCGGCTTTCAAGAAGTTGCTGATATAATAGAAAATGGTGTCGTAGAAATTGGGAGCAAAGCTACGGAAGAAGAGAAACGAATTTTTAAGTTTCAACAGAAGATGGATAGCAAGGCTAGGTTCTTAATATATCAGTGTGTTAGCTCCATGATTTTTTAATCAAATTTCGATGGCTGAAACCGCAAAGAAGGCGTGGGAGATACTTGACAAGACCTATGGTGTTGGAGATAAACACAAGAAGGTTAAGTTGCAAGCATTAAGAAGGAAGTTCGAGTTCCTCATGATGGAAGAAACTGAGACTGTAACAAAGTATCTGAATAAGGTGCAGGAGTTTGTCAACGCAATCCGAGCATGCGGTGACACAGTTTCAGAGCAGCATATTGTAAACAAGGTATTAAGATCTCTTCCACTGAGTTTTGATCATCTTGTAATTACGATTGAAGAAACGAAAGACTTGGAGCATCTTGGGATTCAGGAGCTGCAACATTCCTTGGAGGCCCATGAATACAGACTCAGTGAGAGAAAACAAATGCTAGAACAGGCCTTGCAAGCGAGATCGAGTTACAAAATGAAATCAAAAGGAACCAAGAAGAGTACGAAACAGTCAAAGGGTGCCAACCAAGATGATGTTGCAGGTGATTTAGAAAAAAGTAAGAGTCATGGCACCAAGAACAGTGGAGAGAAAGGCTGGAAATTTGACAAGAAAAAGGTGAAGTGCTATAATTGTCAAAAGCTTGGGCACTTTGCTCGTGAGTGTTGGAAGGGTGAAGGGTCCAAGGCGATGTCCAAGAATCAAGCTAACCTAGCTAAAGATGATGCTTCATCAGATTCAGATATAGTAATGCTCATGGCAAAGACCAGCGAAGAAAGTTCAGAAGAATCATCTTCATGGTATCTTGATTCCGGTTGTTCTACCCACATGACTGGACGTCGGGATTGGTTCATCAAGTTAAGTGATGTTTCACACGGGAAGATCAGGTTCGCAGATAATCGGAGTCTGCAAGCAGAAGGGAGAGGTCGCGTGGTGTTAATTGATCATGAGAATAGAGAAATCATCATAGATGATGTTCTCTACGTACCCGGATTAAAAACCAATTTGCTAAGTCTCGGGCAGCTTCTACAGAAAGGGTTCTTTATGGAATTGAAGGAGAATGGGCTTAGCATACTTGATCAAGATAAAAGGTTGGTGATTCATGTCAAACTCTCAGAAAATAGAACGTTTAGAGTGGGGATGAACACACGTAGACATGAGTGTTTTGCTTCCGTAGTTGATGATGGAGAATGGCTATGGCACAACAGGTTTGGGCACCTCAATTTCCATGATTTGTATAGACTCAGTAATGATAATCTTGTTACAGGGTTACCACAAATCAAAATACCAGAAGAAGTCTGCTCAGAATGTATCCAGTGCAAGCAAACTAGGTTGCGCTTCAAGAAATTTGTTGGTGGAAGAGCAACCAAAAAGCTAGGAGTTGTGTACACTGATGTTTGTGGTCCTATGCAGGTCACAACTCCAGGAGGGAACAAATACATACTCACCTTTATTGATGAATACACACGGAAATTGTGGGTATATTTGCTTGCACGGAAAAGTGACGTTCAAGAATTGTTTGAAAAGTTTGTCAGGATGGTCGAGAGGCAGAGTGGGGAGAAGTTGAAAGTCTTGCGTAGTGATGGAGGTGGTGAGTATTCATCAATAAACTTCAGCTCATTTTGTGAGAAGGAGGGAATAATTCATGAGAAGACTCCACCTTATACCCCCCAACATAATGGAACTGCTGAACGTATGAATAGGACTTTGCTAAACATGATACGGTGCATGTTGAAAGGAAAGAATGTGCCAAACCAGTTCTGGGGAGAGGCAGCTGTTACTGTTGCACACATGCTGAACCATGCACCAACAAAACGTCTAGAGGTTACACCAGAAGAAGCCTGGACAGGTGTCAAACCAAGTGTTTCACACTTCAAAATTTTTGGATCCATGTGCTATAAGCATGTGCCAGACCCACTAAGGAGAAAGCTCGATGACAAAGGCACACCGCATGTGTTCATTGGCTATCATGTAACAGGGGGATACAAGTTGTTTGATCCTGCCACAAAACAGGTTTCAATCAGTCGTGATGTTACGTTCAATGAGGCAAGCAGTTGGTCATGGGATCGTGTTGAGAAAGAAGAAAACACTACCAAAGTGACTTTCGATGAAGAAACTGACTCAGAAGATCAGAACCGAGGTGAAGCGTCAGCTACAAGAAGATCACAGCGCACATCACATCTTCCTTCACGTCTGAGGGATTACGAAATCTTTGATGATTCAGCAGTAACAGCGGATGGGAGCTTGATTCATTTTGCGTTGATTGCAGAGGCAGAACCTGTAGAATTTGAAGAAGCAGTGAAGAATCCTCATTGGCTGAGTGCAATGGAGGAAGAGATTAACTCCATCGAGAAGAACCAGACTTGGGAACTTGTCCCACTACCACCTGGTAAGAAGCCCATTGCGCTCAAGTGGGTCTATAAGTTGAAGATGAATCCTAGAGGAGAGATTTTGCGCTATAAAGCGAGACTCGTCGCCAAAGGGTTCTTGCAAAGAGCAGGGATAGACTACAGTGAGGTTTATGCACCTGTTGCTCGATTGGAGACGATTAGATTAGTGGTTGCTTTTTCTATAAACTCTAACTGGTCATTACATCAGTTAGATGTTAAATCTGCCTTTCTCAATGGTCCACTGGAGGAGGAGGTTTATGTGCAGCAACCCAGTGGCTTTGAACATCAGGAGAAGAAAAACAAAGTTTATAAATTGAAGAAGGCTCTATATGTGCTTAAGCAGGCACCAAGAGCGTGGAATAAACGCATTGACACATTCCTTGAGCAGATTGGGTTCATCAAATGTAAATCAGAGCACGGTGTTTACGTGAAAATGCAGCAGCACAGTAATGAGAAAGTCATCATTTGCCTATATGTTGACGATCTCCTGGTCACTGGAAGCACTGAGAAGCTGATCTGTGAGTGCAAGCGTGATCTCCTTTCAGAATTTGAAATGACTGATCTAGGAAACTTGAGTTACTTTCTTGGCATAGAGTTCAAGAGAACACCCACTGGGATGTTGCTACATCAGACGAAGTATGCGAGGGACTTGGTAAAAAGATTTGGGATGCATCAGAGTAACTCTGCAAGCACCCCTGCAGAATCTGGATTGAAGCTTGAGCTAAGTCCTGACGAAGAAAACGTGGATCCAGCGCAATATAGAAGTATCGTGGGCAGCCTGAGATACCTTTGCAACACAAGACCAGATCTTAGTTTGAGTGTTGGCTTGGTTAGTAGGTATATGCAGGAACCAAAAGCATCTCATCTACTTGCTGTAAAGTGCATTTTAAGGTACCTTCATGGAACATTGAAACTGGGAATCATGCTTGCCAAAGGAGAAAACAGACTGGTTGGGTTTACTGATGCTGATTGGAGTGGTGATAGGGATGATAGAAAGAGTACGGCTGGGTATGTGTTTTTTCTTGGAAAAGCACCAATCTCTTGGAGCTCTACGAAAGAACCTATCGTAGTTCTTTCAAGTTGCGAAGCTGAATATGTTGCAGCATCCAATGCAGCATGCCAAGGAATCTGGTTAACAACACTGATGAGAGAATTGGGAGTTGAACAGGTGCAAAAGATGAAGTTACTGATTGATAATCAATCGACAATAAGCCTCGTAAAGCATCCAGCTCTACACAGTAGGAGTAAACATATAGAGCTTAAATACCATTTCATTCGGGAGCAAGTGGCAGCTGAGAAGCTAGAGATTGATTACTGCAAATCTGAGGAACAAGTGACGAATGTTTTAACAAAACCTTTGAAAAATGAAAAATTCAAACGTTTCAGAGATAATCTTGGTGTTGTAAATGTTTCATGTTATTTTTAGTTTGAGGAGGAGTGTTGAATAAGCCAAACTAAAAAGCTTCTGTTGCAAATTCTGTTTTTCTGTTATCCGTTTTCTGATATAAATAAAACTTCGGTTGCATGCATGCATGCTACATACGTACTATTCAGTAACTTCGTTTTTCCTGTACCCTTTACGTTCACTCTGTTTTTCCTTTGTACGTAATAAAAAGGCCCAAGAGCATGTTATTTAAGGCACCCGCACAATTCATATAAATAAAATTCATTATACAGTATACATACATATTGCTGAAGTTTCGCTGCGACAGGGGGAAGGGGTGCGAATCCCAAATGTTCTGTAACGATGCAGAGTTTCAAACATAACATACGAAATGTGGTTTATTAACACATCTTCCTTACGATAAGTCCTGAAACACAGGATTAGCTTCGAGTTGCTCTGCGAATTTTTGGAGTATCTCCTTCACAAGTTTTACTAACTCTTCTTTATCTAATTCACTTTCATCTTTTTCTTTTGTTATATCATCAAAAACAGCGTCATAAAGAAGAGCAACTGCCTCGTCAGCTTGAACTAGTGGTAGACCCAATTCTTTTGCGTTTCTCTCTAGATAGCTCCTTATTATATCTCTGCTCCCTAAGCCATCCTTTGCTTCCAGTTTTTCCCGCAATACCTTCCCCACTGTGCTGTTCAATTCCTGTTCATTGGCTAATAGCTGCAGCAGCATTGTTCACAATAGAAGTTAAGTAAGAGTTGGCTTGACTGAAGTGTTCATTCAAAATGCCACAATTAACTTCTAAAATCGTCTCAAGCAATTGCTGGCTAGTGGGAACAGGTACACGCTCTAATGGGTTTTTGCGTATTTTAATAATGATGATTTATTTTTTATAAACTAAAAGGATGATCAGTACGCAATTTGCAAAATGTAGACATCATGGTGAAGAATCTATATATATGAACTTTTTTTATTGAAACATCGTATTTTTAAATAATATATGAAAGATACCTGTCTTAGCTTAGAGCCATTAATGATTTGAATATTCTGAATAACAACAACATTCTCTTTCGAAAGTTCCTCTTCTAGATCTTGCAGTACAGACTGCAGAAGCTGTGCAAACTGTGCCTGACCCAATTTTTCTTCTCCGTCCGCCCCATGTTTTCTCAACAAATCATTTAGCCGAGGAAATTCTGCTCAGTTATGCTAAAAAAAGTCAGTTTTGTCAGATCTGGGAAATTGACATGTATATGCTGACAAACTTCGTAAATAAATACTGCATATCATTATGCAGCACATGTTGTGACCAGTTTCAAACAATGGAAAATATACTTCATTATTTCCTTTTTAATGGTTACAAATTTGTGCGTTCCAACCATTTATCTACGATGAATAGAATCATAATCTAAGAAAATTTCAATAGCCAAAGAACATAGGTCATAAACGCTATGAGTGTAGCAAGATATACCTACTATCAGACAAGCTAAATTCTACATTGGCAAATGGAAAATAAGACATTAACACAGATAATAATCATCATCACCAGTACAAAAGGTCAAAGCCATATAGCATAATATGTGGCCTGTGAGGAGATGTGAAAGCCTCGTTTATTTTGAGGCCAAAAAATAAACTGTAGAAGTCAGTGGCCGATTATAAAAGTCCCAAGGATCAGTCTTTTCTCTCTTTTTTTTATTTGGTGTCCTAGCCTAGTGCAGCTTGCAGCTGTACACATTGGCAGTTGCCTTATCCAAAATGTCGTAGGAATAAAATGTTAGATCAAAACACCCATCATAACTTTAATTCACTTTCGGAATTCATTAGATTAACCATCCTAAAAGTCTGTTACTGTGATGCAAACTCTAGAAACAACGAACACGGCCAGTTCTAAGCAGAGAAAGAATTATAAATATGCCTAAGGAATCATGACAAACTAAAATCTTTTGTCTTTTCCTAGATATTAGATTTTTGTAACCTTGTGCCAGTTGGAGCATTTCCTTCTTAAAATTGCAACTCCATGGAAAAAACTGTTCTCGTACTACAAATCCACCAAAAAAAACAAAAAGAAAAGATTGCCATATACAATCATAATACTTGCCTTATCAATCTAATATAAAGCCGATCATAGTAATTCTCTGGAGCGAAAGAAAAAGTGAGGAACCCGAATAGAGCAGAAACTAACTGCTCATGACAGGAAAAAGTTTCATGAAGAAAAAACAAGTTATATCTTTGATTTCGATATGTCTAAATTAAATCATCAGGATTAAAGACTACGCTTACACTCCGCATAAGAGGACAAGGGCAAAAGGGAATATTAATCAAGATGAAAAAGGAATCAGTGATGTGTCTCAAACTTTACATCTTACAGTCAGTCAGGGATCATAAAAACAGATCATTGATAATCATGAGAATATGAGTTGAACAAACAAAATTACACTGCAAAATAGTTACAAGGTTATACTATACTAAATTGCCTAAAATCGAAGACCAAAATAAAGGGAAAAAAAAAATCTTAAAAATAAAAAGTAAAATGAACCTGAGAAAGGAGGAACGCCCATCTCAACTCCCATCTGGACAAGAGCACTCCGAATTTCACTCTTGCTGATTTTCCCGTTGTCTTCAGCATCTAAGTCAGTGAATAGATTTTCTGCTAACATGGCGAAGTCATCCTCATCCTCTAATAACAAACGGAGAGTACTTCCATCCAAGATTGATACAACAAGAGGATTATCTGCAAAAAAGTAAAACAGTATTAATTTTCTGGTAAAATTTTCAGAACCAATTGTTTGGTCGTTAAAGCATGACACGAAAACAAATCCACTAGTTCTAGAAATGTAGCAATATTGTTATCCAAGTCACGTTTCAGTCAAATTCGATCAAACAGGGAACTCAAGATTTTTCAGCTTTGCGGAATAATTTTCTCTACACTTGTCCTATTTCATTCTTTTCAGCAGCCAGCAACCGGAAAACACAACAACAACAACAACAACAACAGGGGAAGATCTACGCAATCGCGCAAGATAATTAGTGAAGAAAACACGAAGACTCTGAAATTTCAACCGCAAGAAATAACAAAATCAATTCAGACATACTTCATATGAACTCAAAAAGAGAATAAGCGCCAAAGTCACGGATCGAGATTTCGATATCAGAGAACACATATCATAGCACTAAAATTACGCACTCAATCGATCATCAACTAGTGCAGGGACTATATGACTTCCCTTCATCCTGAGAGAAAACGGTTAACTAAACAATCAGTATTTCGTTTATTGTTTGTTCACTTTTGAGCGTGAGGAGGTCGGTCGCACGCACAAGTTTACCTATAGTGCGTCAGCAGAAGAAGATAATAAACCTTTGAGTTCATCGGCGATGGCAGTGATGTAGTCCCGGAGAACATCGGAAGCCTTGTCGGCGGAGAACTCAGCAGAACGGAAGGCGTCAGCATCGGATGCGCGGAGGCGCGTGAGAGCAGAGGCTCTGAGAGAATCGGGTAATGAGAGGCCAAAGAGGGAAGAAGAGGCGCGGGAATGGGCAATGTCGAGTATGTTAGCTCCGGTGAATGAACCGTCGCCTAAGGACAGATCCAGACCTCTGAGGTGCGTTCCGTCCAGTACCTGCAATGCTCCGTCTGACATTTTCGACTCTTTGGTTTGAGTGAAGAATACTTCAACTGTTTGTTGCTACGCGTGACTGTTGTGTCTTTCGCTGAACTCAAATTGAATCAAATCAAATAATATATCACCCTTTTCCACCTAACACCACTTAAAAAAAATAGTATAATTTTATATTTTCGGGAAGTATTATATGTTTTAATAAATAATATTAAGAAAATAAATATTAAATATAAATAAGCGCATATAAAATTAAGCATTGAGCTAACTTTACATTTTTTTTTTAAGATGTGAAGACTAAAAAAAAAATTATATGAATATCAAATTCGGGAATCAGAAATGAAGAGAAATCAATATTAGTATTATTTAATTAAGAAAGTTATTTTTATAGAGTCAAAATAATATTATTCAATTTCCTTATATATTACGGACATCCATTCCACAGATAATACGTGTTTCAACCGAACTAGCAAACACGCGTTTATTTAATTTCTTAATTAAAACTGTGACATAAGAATTGCGTTTACTTGTCTATTTAAGAGTTCTTTCTTTTTGAATCAACTCATTTCAAATACGTTGAATATACATGTGCAATTAATTATCATAAATATTCTGTCTTCCTGTTCAATAAGGCAATTGTAACCTACCTTGTAGCTTCGTCTATCCCAAAATCACCTAAGAATTAGTGGTAATTTCTTATATAAAACTTAAACACGGGTTTATAGTTTTTTGTTGTTGTTAATTTTACGTGCTTTTTTAATTAAAAGTGGACTTTGGAAATTTATATTAATATTTAAAGCAAGTTTTTATTATGTATATTATTGAAATGAAGTTTTATTAAAAAACGACATTAAAAGTACGTATTGAACTATTTATATGTTATTTCTTGGTCAAATAGTTAAATATTCCCATTTTTATGACGATTAATGTATTCTATTACTTAATCACAACTATGTTAATGAATAAAGTAAATAATTAAATTAATTTGTGGGTAGCTATTTAAAAAATTGAAATTGTTGTCACATACAAAACAAAAAATCTAATATAATTTAATAAATTTATTTATGTGATTTTCAATTTTTTTTAGTTATCGAAACTTTTAATCAATTGCTCTTGTTCACATTAGATTGTTGGATCGGTTAATAATTGTTCCTATTTATCTACGCAACGTTGTTGTTTTTTTCTAAAAAAAGAAAGTTTGTGTATTAGAGTCGAAAATAATTGCATGTAAAAATAATTTAGCATCTACATGGTCAACACAAGATAGGGTCAGGGAAAGCGAAAAAGGAAAACGCCTAACCTAACGTTAAATGTCTGTAATTAATTATTGCTAATAAATAGTACGATAACATATGATTTCGAGAGATAATTAAATTAAACATAGTTAATGAATCATAAGCAATGAATACATTTGAAGGCTTAGTCTTAAATGAATATTTTTAATTCAAAACAAAGTGAAATAATTTATTATTTATTATTTGTATATACATTTATCTCCTTTCTTCTTCTTTTCTGATTTTTTAGCGATTATTTATTTGTCTAAACTAGAATGAACGAGTGGAAGGTAAACATCACCGTTTAAATGGGAGAAAAAAATGCAAATCATTGTCCATTAGAATATCAACACGTAGCATTCTTTAAGTTTCCAGTAGTTTGAAGTCAAAATAGCTTAAACGGGAAATTTAGTAGGCAGGGAGATCAACCGAACATGGTGTAAGATAGAGTTTAGATTCTTTCCGAGATCACGCATTGAAACTGAAGATGCATGATTTAGCATTTTGTTTTTGTGGACTTACTTATACCATTTGAAGCTGGCTTAGTGCCCTGGGGTCTCTGACGAAGGAAAATTCTTGAGTATCATAAACTTCATTGTGCTTCAGGTTCTCAAACTTGGCAGGCTCGTCATTCAAAGCGAAAGCCTCTTCTCCATGCAATACCTTGTCACCCAATTGCAACGAATCGGTGTGAAGCCTGAGAGGTACTATGGCCCCCACCAACAAGCAAATCAAGCTCGTCGTAACGAAGTTGAAGATGATCACGAAAACTATGGCCCCGATTTGGATGCCCATTTGTCTTAAACCGGCTCCGGTTGCACCGTTCTGGAGGCCATAGACTAGGCCAATGTATTTTTCCCAATCGGGGACCATGTAGAAGAGACGGCAGAGTTTAGGAACGGCGAAGAGGCCGGTGAGGATGCCGCCGAGAGCGCCGGCGACGGCGTGGGTGTGGAACACCGCCATGGGGTCGTCGATTTGGTTCAAGAAAGGTAGCTTGTGATGGAGGACCATCATTGTGTACCAGGGAACGCTTCCTGAGATCAAACCCATCAAGATCGCTGCCCACCCTTGCACAACTCCTGCAGCAGGTGTGATGCAAACGAGGCCGGTGATCATGCCTTGTACGGCGCCAAACACGGTGGGCTTACCAAAGTAGAAAGTGTCAAGAAGGACCCACACCATGATGCTGGCAGCAGCGCACACGTGTGTGTTGAGGACGGCCAGAGATGCCACCGTGCTCACCACGAACGGACCTCCACCGTTGAACCCACTCCAACCCATCCATAGCAGGCCTGCGCCTGCAAGCACTACAATCAAGTTGTTTGATGGAAACCTTTCTCTCTCCTTCTCACATCTTGGACCCACCTATTCAACCACCATCATCACTCGTGCTATTCAATGATTAATTTTAAGAACAGTTTGACAAAAATTAACCTAAGGTATACTTGCATTGTATATCAACAATAAGAGTGCCTTTACTATGAAAAAAAAAAAAAAAAAGTTATAAATTTAAAAGAACTGGAAGATGGAGAAAGGTGAGTGAGGAAATGCAGACGCACCCAATAAGCTGCAGTGAAACCAGCAACTCCAGCAGAGAGGTGAATAACATATCCTCCAGAGAAATCAATAAGCCCAAGCTTCGCCAACCACCCTTCGGGGCACCAAATGCTAAACGCAGTGACCGTGTATGAACAAGTAACCCAAAGCGGCACAAACAGCATCCAAGCAAGAATGTTCATTCTCCCGAGTAACGCCCCAGCTATGAGGATCAAAGTAATCCCCGCAAACACACCCTGAAAAAACACCATGGTAGCGGTGGGAAAGAGCCCCACAAACGCTTGCCCCAGGAGAAACTCCTCGTCCAGCGCCGCCCCTGGTTTCCCCAAGAAGAACACCATTTTCTCGCCGAACGACATACGGAAACCCCACGCGACCCAGCAGAGAAGAACAGCCGCGAAGGCATAGAAGGCCATGAAAGCGGAGTTAATGGCCCATGTTTTCTTCACAAGGCTTCCGTAGAGAATAACCAGCCCCGGAATACTTTGGAGACCCACCACTGTCGCTGCCATTAACTGCCACGCATTGTCTCCTTTGTTTAACCATCTTGGGCTTGCCTCGTCTGGCAAAAGGTTTGGAGGAAACTCCATTGATGACCCTAGCTCGTATAAGTTTACGTGTAAATTTGGTTGACTAGATTCAACTTGAGTGTGAATACGCAACACCAAGATACTCAACTTATTTGTAGGTTTATAGAATCAAGCATTTTGGGAGTATATACATAAATAATAATCAGATCACGCTGTCATTTTATTTACTTGGATGATGAGAGTACATGAGACATTACCAAGCCGGCTTTGTTAGTGGACGAGGAAGAATATTTTTTTCTTTCTTTATCCATTGATTCGTATATATGTCGCGACATGCAGAACACGAGGAAAAATAATCATGGATGACGTATGCATGGCCGGTTTTTTCAATCATTTTTTTTATCATAAATCAATAAAATATTCTTTTTATTTCTAAATAATTTTTATTAACATTCTCTTTAAAAGATGTACATAGAAATATATTTTTTTAAAATAAATAAAATATTATTATAATATTAAAATTAGATTATATAATAGATATTTGAAAAATTAAATTACCTACATATCATTATTCATAATAAATCGTTTTTTTCGTTTTAGATATTCTTAAAAAACAACTCATGTATAATTCAATTTAATAATATTATAATTATAAATTATTATTATTATTATGTTAAAACAGGTTGTTAGCTAGATGTTATCTAAATATAATTTTACTTTTTTTTCAGCATTAAGATATTTTTCCCAAGTAAATAGGATAAGGAGTCTTCTACATCAGAATTTATTTTAATATGCAAATGTGATTTCGATAAGGGTTTAATAGTAAGTGAACTTATCTATTCAATACTTCAAGACGTTATTCTCCGTTTGTTTTTGCTACATACATTCCCTAAAGAAATGTTAGGAAGGACAATAACCGGATAACACTCATAACTAAGATAAAAAATATGAGAAAAAAATTAAAAATAGGTAATAACAAAATTTTAATAATAATTAAAATAAAAAATAAAATAAAATAAAATTCAATAATAAATTTTATTAACGATAGAAACTATAATATTTTTTAAAAATCTAAAACAAAACAAGAAAAATATCAAAATGGAAAACAAAATAGAAAATTTGGGATAACCCCGAAAACCGTTATGATCTCATATCTCTCTGACTACTTAGCTTCAAAAGAAAAACACTGAAACCAGACTAACTTAAATGAAGATTGTCCGAGATAAAGTAGGTTATAGCAAAAAAATGTTCAAAATAAAATTATGAGATGCATGAATCTAGCAGAGCAGGTTAGACATTTCCTCGTAAGCTTACATATATAAATGCAGAAATTAAATATAAAAATATAAACAAACAAGTCCATGGTGAGATTATGAGATGTTGAATTTGGCAGAACCGGTTAGACACATCCTCATAAACTTATATAAACGTGAAAAATAACTCTACAATAATTTTTTAAGTCTTTAAATGATTATCACATCTTTTAATAAATAATACTTAAGACATCCGAAGATGCTCTTAAAAGAAAACTAATTCATAAGAGAAGTAAAGAAAACTTACTCAAACGAGAGAAGGAGAAGGAGAAGAGAATAAGAAAACTTACTCAAACGAGGGAAGGAGAAGGAGAAGAGAATATGAAAGTATTGATCTTATTGATGGAAAAATAAAAAGTTACATGTAAGGAAAGAATGGAAGGAGAGGGAGGTGAAGAGAGAAAAAAAAAAGAAAGTTGTGAAGATCTCTTCCCAACATAAGGGACTTAAGAGTTCTTCACTGATAAGATATTTAAAAATAAATAATGTACTTTTTATCACAATCAAAATTAACGCTAATATATAATTTTGCTAATGTAAAACTTATCTTTTCTCACCTATTAAAACAAATATCATAATACTAATTAGATGAAAATTTTCAAAATATAAGTAAATTTTAAACTTTTTTTTTCAATGTTTGATTTAAATTATTTAATTTTATTTTAATTTCAAATTCTTAGTTTAGATAGACTATTTAATATCACCACACGCATATATTTTTTAATATGCATTTATACTTTTAAAATTTTAATATAAACCTGCACAAAAAGAAACATACGACAAGATTAAAGCCATTGGTAATTAAAAATATAAATTTATAAAATATTTATTAATTAAAAAAATATCAATAATTTGAATCAATATTTATAGGAAAATGGAGAGAAACACAAAGTACAGGCAGAGAATAAAGAGAGAGAGGAAGAAGACAACAAAAAAGACAAAATAGAAAAGAAAAAAATTTAATTCGATTTTATATTAAAAACTCATTTAACTAAAAAAATTTATTCAATTTTAATTTAGTATAAAATTTAAACCAAATCAAATTAATAATGTTTCACAATTTAACTTATAATGATTGTTGGGTTTTTTATATTGTAGAATTGTTAAGCAGATTTTAACAAAAATGTCGGTTTGTTTTATTTTTTTTATATTGATTCTTATTCATATTTTCAATTTTATCCCTTATATATAAACAAATTACATAATATCAAATTTCTTTAAGGAACATTACGTTAGGGGTAAAAATTATAATGCACATTTATTGACATATTTTAATGAATATAATATTAGTATAAACACAATATGTAATTAAATGATAAAATATCGATTCAAAAAATATATTCATTTATGTTAATTAATTTTAATATATATATATATATATATATATATATATATATATATTCATTTTGAATTTTTCTCAGTTGAATCATTTTGAGAATTAAAAACTCAACTAAACTGTTAGTTTTATTGAAATATATATAAGCTTTTATTTTTTTATTAGTTTAATATTAAATATTTTAATATTAGAAGAAGAAAAATAATGAAAAACAAATATTTCCTTTATTTTATAATATACGATGTTTCGGGTATAAAGTTTTATTTTTAAATATATATATATATATATATATATATATATATATATATATATAACGTTTTTAAAATTTAAAATTATATTACTTACTCTTTTACTAATTATACCATTATCTTCTAATTATATTTATTTATTACAGAGAGAAGAGACAATAAGTAGTTTGAAAGAATATATAAAATGATTATGATATTAATAAATAAATAAATAAATTTATTAAAAATAATGAGAATTAATATTTATCTTATTATATATAAAATAAAAAAAATAATATAATAGAGAAAAATAAAAAGAGAGAAACATGAGTGAAATAAAATCATCATAATTTTTTTACATTCTTATTTTTTTTATATGAAAATTCAAATATTAAAATAATAAAATTCAAAATACTTTTCATATATTGTTAGAGTTTTAATTTGTCATATAATTATTATAATTAAACACTTAACAAACTCGAACCGTCGTCTAAGAGACTAACCTATGAATATGATTTATTTTTTAACTTGTATTTTTATACCTAAGAAACTCAAACTCTTCGATCATAAAGACCTAACTAATAACTTTAATATAAAACAAACTCAACTCTGTAGAACCTTGAATCTAGTTCTAAAATGGAACTTATAAGTTTATAATACCGACCAATCCCCTAACTTTTTAATTCTAAAAACCTAATTTTTAAGTTTAATACCCAACAAAACCATAACTATTTATTCTGAACACCTAACTTATACAAGTTTAATACCCAACAAAACCCTAACTAATAATTATTTAATAGTTTAATGCTAAATAGAGAGAGAGAGAGAGAGAGAGAGAAAAAAAAAAGTTAAGGATGGTAGTGGTGGAAGGTCGCTTGGAAGAGGAGACACGTGACAGCGGAAGATTGAGATACTTGAAGGTAGTGTAGAACATGATAATGATTGCAATTTGCTTATTGCTTACGCGACAATTCCTTAATCTTGTATTGCTAAATGTAAATCTGTCACTGTTTATGATGAGAAAAAAAAATTAAAAAAAGTGATATTTAGATTTGTGACAAATCACAAAAATCGTCACTAATTATTTTTTTAAAGAAATTATTTATTTTATTACAAATTTTATCTCAATAAAACTGTTTTTTCTAATAGAACTCTCCATCGTTTCAATAATTTGTCTATAATAGAATAGTATATCATATATGTTACCGAATTTAAATTGTAAAAAAAAATATGTTGATAAATTAATGGTCAAATTATATTATTGTGATTAAAAACTAATTTAAATATAAAATAATGTCAACTATCTTTTATCCCATTTAATGATATTACTCCAAAACATCCTCTAAATTTCAGTCACTCTTTTATTTATACTTTAAAAATAACACCTAATTATATTGGAATTAAATGCAATTGAAAGTATAATAGTAATAAATTATGGGTTCTTTTATAATCGTAACAATCAGTAACAATTGTTGGACAACGTTTGCATGAAACGAACACGTAAACATGGGTACGGTTGACTATGTTCCACAATTTTATTTTATTTTAAAAAATTTTAAAAAACTAACACGAGAACGTACTTACTTAGAATTTAAATGATAAAAAATGACCTTTTTTTAATATTATTATGTTAAATTTGTTATTATATATGTATACATTATTATTGATTCATAAAAAAATTATATTCGTAAAATTGTAAAAATGATAACCTTATATTTTATTTATGGATATATTATGTAATATAATATTTAATAAATAATATATTTTGTTATATTGTGTCTAAGTATAATATATATAATAGAGATTCAATTATTCTAATTTTTATTCATTCTATTTATTTCATATAATACAATGATAGAATCATTATATTAAAAGAAACAAATGATAGAGAGTGAGAATAGAGCTATCAAATTTATCTTTGTTTTTAAATTTTTGAAAACTATTTTAAACAGAAAATATATATAGATGAGAACAAAATTAAATGAAAATTTAAAAATATTTATAATAAAATTATAGTTATAAAAATAAATAATTCAATGTAATTGTTGATAAAAGTATTGAGATTTTTAATGAAAAAAAAAACACTTTTTATTAATTTTAGTATTTTGGTTTTTAAAAACTACAAATAAAAAAAGTAAAAACATTATTTTAACAAAACAGTTATCAACAAATTTTTTTTTATAT